TTTTTCGAATAAAAATTTTTAGTTTAAGACAAAAGTTGTCCTGACCATATTTGAAGAACTTATAATTTAAAACAATTAAATTTGAAATTGAAAATTTTTGCTTAAAATTCCTCTTGGACATAGCTTAAGATAAAATTTACAAGAGAGAGAATAACACATGTGCGTAACATCTTCATTGTTCTATATTTCCTTGTATCTTTCTTCATTCATTCTCTGTAAGATTCTAAAACAGTTTAATTAAATTTTTTGGCTTATTTTTTCCATTATTTTGTCGATTGGATCAAATTATTATGTTTAAAACTTTCATTGACTTTCATAGACTTGCACTGTTTTTTATTTGAATTGAAACAGGTAAAACAATTTTCGACCATCCTTGAAGGACAAAGCGTGGAATTTTAGTTTTTCAAAATTCAAATTGATTTTTTGCTTCAAAATTGAGTGGCTTCATATTGAAGCACACCAAAAATTAACAGAAGCTGACTTTATGATACTTTCACTATTATTTTTCACTTAAATTTTGATGTCTATCATGAAATAAATAATTATTTTTGCGAGAGCTCAGATTTTAAGTATTTCACCCTTTGGATACCGAGGGGAACCCGACCCCCGATTTTAAATTTTTCTGTTCATCAGCTTATTGAGGTCAGTATTAAGTAGAAATTTTTTCAACGTTTATCGGGGCATCAGCTTATCAAGGATATCAGCTTATTGAGGCATCAGCTTATCGAAGTTCCACTGTATGAACAACATGTGCGTATAACATACGTGTGAAACGCTTGACAGACTGCTGATGTCAACAAGGTAAGGAATGACAGAGATTTACCTGTTCAAATCAAATAAATCAAATCAACAAGTCGTGAAAAGTAATCGATAATGAATCGAACGCAATAATTTTTGCACAAATAAAATTTTATGTTCAGGAATAATGGAGAATATTTTAGTTTTTTTTTTTCATAAAGATTGAAAAATGTGAACTCAGTGAATTGTTTGACAAACCTTAACTAAACTAAAAAGAAACAGTTTCTGAATTATTATTTTTATTTGATACCTAGAATTTTCATCAATTCACATTCATGGATTTATTATTTTTTATTAGAATGGTTTAGGACTTCTGATATTTGCATTGTCACGACACATGTTGAGTAATAAAGTGCACAACTTGTAAATGTATGAATATCAGTTGAAAATTTACCGTAGCAGAATGATAACGTTTCTCAAAAGACGATTATTAATTATAATAACTGTCTTCGCTGTATTTAGCTTGCTTTTCAACTTTTTAATATCAATATCGATTAATAGAATTCAAAACTATATTCAACCAATTGTTGATGACAGCACAGAATCATTTGAAACCGGTAAATATTTTCAAGTTTCAATCTTACATTAATTAAAAATTTACACAACATTTTTAGATCCAAACTTCATTCAATGCCCAGATTACTCCAAAGATTATCAAATAAATTTCGATAATAAATTTTGGCAAGTGTTGGAGACATCAGATGGAACAATTAAAATGTTTAACTCTTATTATGACTCAAGAAAAATTTTGGGAAATGAAACAATTATCCGAATAATATCAATGATCAATCGGATTGATCCCAGCATCAAAACTTATTGTCAGTTCTATTTCGAAGGAAGCAATAAGCAAGTTTTTTCAGAAGTTTTTGAATATTTGATGATGTGGAATGAAGGTTGGCAACTCAATGAAAATGGATATACTCCATATCTTCTCAGTTGTAAGAATCCAGTTGCCCACATCCCAACTTCAGTATCGCTTGTGGAGAAGCCATGTGAAGTCCCAACAAACAATCTTAAAATTATTTTTAATGAACCAGAAAATGGTTTGAAGAAATCATTTGCAGTTTGTGGTAAGGACATGATCTTCAAAGAAGACAAAAGTTTGCAGCTTATTGAATGGATTGAAATCCTTTCGATTCTAGGAGTTGACAAAATATTCTTTTATGTTGTTGAAATACCTCCTCAAATGATGAAAGTTTTGAAATATTACGAATCTAAAGGAAGAGTTGGAATAGAATTCATTTCAGATGTGACTTTGCCAAGTAATCAAAACAAAAGTGAAATTCAAAGAATTCAGAATTTGATGGTGTCACTTAATGATTGTTTCTTGAAGCACGTGAATGAGTACAACATAATTTCAGCGTTAGATACAGATGAAATGATTTTCCCTACCGATGATAATGACAAAACATGGCACGAAATTATTTCCCGCAAGCAGAAAAATGACGACCTTCCTCCCGCTTATGTTTTTGATAACTTATTTTTCCTTACTGACAGCATTCGAGGCAATGAAACTCAAGCTGAAGTTCCAGAAGAATTCTTTTTTCTGCAGCACGTTTTTCGAGCTCAGAATTTCTCAAGAAAAGGTGCCGGTTCTAAATCATTTTTCAATACTGAGAAAGTTTTAGTGATTCACAATCATTTCCCAATGATTTGCTTCGATAGAGGTGTTCCCAGCTACGCTTGCCGTTTTCAATACATGCCCACTGAATTTGGACGTCTTCAACATTATAAAACAGGTTGCGGGGGTGGTTATAACAACGAAGAGTGTGAAAACTTTAAACACAATGTTGTGAAAGATCTCCTGTTATGGAAATATAAAGACGAAATTATTGACAATACTTTCGATGTTACTGCAATGATCAATAATAATTAACAAGAAGAATTATCTTTCAAAAAAAAGTTTTATAAATAAAATTTGAACTGTTTGCCACTTGATATAAATAAGTACAATGTCTCGCACAATTGTTCATACACTTAGATACGTATGAAACATAGTTTTTGAATACGATGGCTCATAAATTTAAAACTAAAAGAGCTGGAAAAAAATGATGTAAGAAAATGATTTCAACAGATTGCAATCTGTTGTTTCTGTCAGCTTACTTTTTTGGCACGCAAATATGAAACTTTTTTTGTTTCCTTTATTTTCAGGCAAAATATATTAAGCTTTAAAAAATCTGGAAAAACGGTTTTAAAGCCTTTTACATAGACAACATTTAGTTAATTTATCATTTTATTGTGAAATCTTTAGTTGTCTTATTATTTTATGTTTCAGCTGCACACTCTTCTTTTCGTTCCACAATATGTACAGTGGAACTTCGATAAGCTGATATCTCAAAGGAGACAAAAAAATATCAGCTTATCGAGGATATTAGCTTATTGAGGATTTGAGGGTGTTCAAGAAATATAAAAATATAATTTTAAGTCGAAAATCCCCCATATTATATCATTTTTATATTATTATGACATATCTATTATAGTTTATGATACTATAATGCTAGTTAGAGGATGAAATAATATTTTATAAATTTGAGCCATTCAAATTTTGAGCAACTGAGTAAATGAAGACCCCCGATTTTAAATTTTTCTGTTCATCAGCTTATTGAGGTCAGTATTAAGTAGAAATTTTTTCAACGTTTATNCGGATTGATCCCAGCATCAAAACTTATTGTCAGTTCTATTTCGAAGGAAGCAATAAGCAAGTTTTTTCAGAAGTTTTTGAATATTTGATGATGTGGAATGAAGGTTGGCAACTCAATGAAAATGGATATACTCCATATCTTCTCAGTTGTAAGAATCCAGTTGCCCACATCCCAACTTCAGTATCGCTTGTGGAGAAGCCATGTGAAGTCCCAACAAACAATCTTAAAATTATTTTTAATGAACCAGAAAATGGTTTGAAGAAATCATTTGCAGTTTGTGGTAAGGACATGATCTTCAAAGAAGACAAAAGTTTGCAGCTTATTGAATGGATTGAAATCCTTTCGATTCTAGGAGTTGACAAAATATTCTTTTATGTTGTTGAAATACCTCCTCAAATGATGAAAGTTTTGAAATATTACGAATCTAAAGGAAGAGTTGGAATAGAATTCATTTCAGATGTGACTTTGCCAAGTAATCAAAACAAAAGTGAAATTCAAAGAATTCAGAATTTGATGGTGTCACTTAATGATTGTTTCTTGAAGCACATGAATGAGTACAACATAATTTCAGCGTTAGATACAGATGAAATGATTTTACCTACCGATGATAATGACAAAACATGGCACGAACTTCTTTCCCGCAAGCAGAAAAATGACGACCTTCCTCCCGCTTACGTTTTCGATAACTTATTTTTTCTTACTGACAGCATTCGAGGCAATGAAACTCAAGCTGAAGTTCCAGAAGAATTCTTTTTTCTGCAGCACGTTTTTCGAGCTCAGAATTTCTCAAGAAAAGGTGCCGGTTCTAAATCATTTTTCAATACTGAGAAAGTTTTAGTGATTCACAATCATTTCCCAATGATTTGCTTCGATAGAGGTGTTCCCAGCTACGCTTGCCGTTTTCAATACATGCCCACTGAATTTGGACGTCTTCAACATTATAAAACAGGTTGCGGGGGTGGTTATAACAACGAAGAGTGTGAAAACTTTAAACACAATGTTGTGAAAGATCTCCTGTTATGGAAATATAAAGACGAAATTATTGACAATACTTTCGATGTTACTGCAATGATCAATAATAATTAACAAGAAGAATTATCTTTCAAAAAAAAGTTTTTTATAAATAAAATTTGAATTATTTGCCACTTGATATAAATATGTAAGTACGTTCTAAGTAAAGATTTGAGATCTTGTGAAAGCGGAACTAAGTAGTTACATGTATTCATTAGAAAATGTTTCCTTAAATAAATGACATAGCAACAATTAAAATTGGATTGCAAATTTGAAGCCACATAATCGTGAATAATAAAAAAAATGTTAATCATTTGCATACGATTGCTACGGTTGATTGAATATTTGTCAGTATATAAAGTTTACAACGTTAAGTGTTCGTATGCAGTTGCTTGAACACTTGCTAAAAGCATCTTGAAAATGTCAACGAATGCAATTTATATTTTTGGATTCTTTATCATAATTTGTGGTGTGAATTGTGCTAAGGTAACAGTGGAACAGATGAAACAAGCGACTGAACCTATTCGAAAAGTTTGTATTACGAAAACAAAAGTCGGTGAAGATGCTCTTAGTGATCTAAGAAGTGGAGTAGTCCAAGATAAAAAAGAACTGAAATGTTACGTCAACTGTGTGTTAGAAATGATCCAAATTGTAAGAAATTTTGATTTTTAATTTTTATAAATATTCCCTAATTCAATTTTCCTTCTTAGATTAAGAAAGGAAAACTTCAATACGATGCAGTGATGAGGTCGGTCGACACAATGCTGCCAGATGAACTTAAAGACGATACGAGACGTGCAGTTAATGTGTGCAAAGACGTCTCAGTTGGTATTAAAGATTTCTGCGAATCAGCTGCCACTATGTTAAAATGCATTTTTAAAGAAAATCCAAACTTCTTCTTCCCTTAAATAAATAAATAAAACATTTCTTATCACGATATCGCTTAAAACGATAATGAAATAAATTTAATCAATTCCTTGATGATGGCTTAAATCACGCTTAATGTAAAAATAAAAATATTTGTAACGAACTTAATCAAATTATAAAAGAAATTGAAAGTCGCAATATTTTGATTAACTTTTTCTGTTCTTTATTTTTCTTTTTGGCATTCTCTCGATAAGCATAAGTTGAAAGTTTTCATTATAGCTCAACATTTCCACATTTTTCCATTATTTAAAATGATTTTTGTTTTAGATTGCGTGAATTGCGTTAATGGGGAATATTTAAAAATGATGTCATTCTGAATATCTAAATGAATGATTTGTTGTTTAAAAAGAAAATCTGTGTTAGAGATTCTCGACGTACTCAACACATAAACTTCCTAATTTAGATTCTATTTCAATCAATAAATTGGTTATATTCAGTTATGTAATATAATTTAATAAATTTCTGTTTGTCTGGCGTTAGAGTTTGTTTTTATCTATTTGTAGAAATGTTCTCTGTTTTCCCTTCCTTCTTTTATTTGCTTTGGACCAGTTAATGTTAGATGAACACAACGAATGATATTGAATGAATTTCAAATGATTTATGCTGGCTATCAAAAATGAAAAAGTCTCAACCTTCATTTAATTGGAAGATATAATTAATATAATTATTTAAAATAATTACATTATTTTATTGTGGATTTTGCACTGAGAAGTTATATAAGTAAAAAACTTTTATTAGTTTTGAAAACGTGCTTACATAAGAAGACAGATAATCTCAATGAAACCTGCAGCTTTTGATTATTTGTTTCTAGGGCAGTGATGTGTCAGTTCAAACTTTAACAAGGTACATTTTGATCTTTTCTATCATTGCAATCAACAGATTCAAATAAATCATGTGCAGGGTGAATTTTTTTTGTTTTTTAAATACAAAATTTTACCACAAAGAGAAAAAAAATAAAATATCGAAGATTTTTTAGCTTTGCCAAAAACATTTTCCTTATCTTAACTAACTTTTAGTTTACAACCAGAACAGTTCATTAATTTTATTTCGAATATATATTTTTATCAAATATTCCAGCGATAAATGTTTAAATATTAAGAAGAACTGATTCAATGAAAGCAGGGTGAATGGGCAAATGCGGAAAACCTTAAAATCGTGGGCAATCGTGGCACACTTTTCCGAAATGAAATTTCGCATTTGGACATTCCTCCTAAAATATCACTTGAGATTCCGCATGCATGCAGATTGATGCTTTACATGCGAAATCAATCGCATGACATTCCGAAAGCAGAAATTCGAATAATTCGCATGTATACGAAAAGTTCATAAATTTGGAAAATAAATTATTCTCTAATTTCATCAAATCAACAAAGATTATAACATTTTTTCAATAATTTATGATGGAAAAGGAAGATATATTTAACAAAAATGTTTTTTACATTAGATACGATAATGAAATTCAATGCGATTTTTAAAATCCTTTCAATCACAAGGTTTGTTGTTAATTCTCTCATCATAAATATATCGTTTGATTAACTTCTCTTAAACATTCTTTCTTATTTATCTTCTTTTCTCTTCTAATGACTTCTTTAAAATATATTATTTTGAATATATTCATAAATGAGCCAAAGTTGCTTTCTCAAATATCTTTCAATTCACAAATCACATTTATACATTTTCATTTTTTTACTTTGGCAATTGAGTAAAATTATTACGTTTCTAGCAAGAAAATATTTTTAGCAGTAAAGTCAATTTTATAATTTTTGAAATTTAATAATTGCGAGAAAGATGAAAGATATTTCTGTCTGTTAATTAAACATTCTATGGATACATTCACGTTACACGATTTCACTTTTACAATAATTGTAAATTAGCTTCAAACGCTGAAGCTTACAATACAAACTCTTTTCATTATGGTCAATCTTAAAATCAGTTATATGTCTTGTAACTTTACACAAATATAAAATCGTCGTATTGATGGTTTGTTGAGTTTTTCTCGATCGATGATATCAAGAAAGAAACTTCCCTAAATATAACGAGTTAGATAAATTTATTTTACTACATTATTAAGAAGCTCCACTGTATAAAGAGTTTAAACGCTGAAATATTACTACGTAGTGTTACTTTCATCAGGATTTATCTAAAGCTGATTATTTTCTCTCAAATATTTCTTTCCGGCTCTCATCATTCAAATACATAATTTGCTTTAAAATTGTGTCGTTAAGTGTCAACTTCACGACAAAAAACATTAAAAAAATGTAGGTTGAGCTTTAAAGTCGTAAAAATGCTGTTTTCTTTTGGTTCCACAAAAATGCGCAAGCAGCGCTTAAAAAACGTCGCATATTGTTCAGAAAAAAATTTCGTCTATCAAATGTACCATGAAATTTGTATTAAATATTGTTTTAACTAATTACGATTGCAAGTTTAAAAAGTTGGTGCTTATCCGTGATCTGATGTTGAGGTAGTGCTGGTAAGTGACATTGGTCGTTTGCCACCCACACTGCTTGGTGTTGACGAAGTTTCACGAAGTGCTAGCTGGTAGGCAACTTCAAAAGCTTGACCTAAAGTGAGAATTATTTCAGTAGCAAGATCCTGAAAAAAAAAAACGTTATTAAAATAAAAGTGTATAAGATTCAATTTTCATTCAGGTCTCAGAGTTGATATCAAAAACCGTAGATAAGTTCTTACCATGCTGTCGGCATAAAAAACGTGACAATAATGAATATTATTCTCGAAATCTTTGGTAATGTATGCAAAATGGGACAAATCTTCAGCATCTTGACAAGCGCAATCGATATTTTTCACGCTGTGTTCACAGATCATTCCCTGACTGGCTATGTCAATAAACTGCACGCCATTGTGTGAGATCGCAAGACAAACCGGTCGCTTAATCGTTTGTATGAGAGAAGTGTTGTTAGGTGAACCAGATGATATCACTCGATCGCCACCTTTCTTCAACTTTTGAATCGATTTTCTTGTCGACTCTGTTCCACGAAGTTCTTTTATGACAGTCGATCCAAGATACTAAATGAAATAATGGACAATTAAAATTTAAAAGAAATAAAATAAAGTGAAAGCCAATCAACTTACAAACACTTCATATTTGATTGATCCCGATACCAAAGCGGCTGCTGAATGTTTCCACTGTGCTTGCAAACTTCCTTGATTAGAAAGCAGAAGTTCCGCAGGCGCTCTTATCTCCAAACCGTTTGTTTGCGTGGGTGGCTGTGGCGCTGGTCGATTTTTCTTATGACGTTTTAATGTTGTTGGTTTCACAGCCGGTACCGGTTTAGGCGGTGTTGTGTTGTTGTTATCACTTGAATCAGCTAATAAATCTAGAGCACTGTTCGAACCACAATCATCGTTAATCTCTTCGATATTCGGTGGCTCGATACGTTGTCCAATGAGTGAATATAAAATTCTTTTTCGATGACCTATCTTGTTAATTTCTAACACTGCTTGAAGCTCAATTTCCCAAACGCGATAAATTTTCTCCATGTCAATGTACAAGTGCTTCCTGCATGAGATAAAAGAAATGAGAAAGAATTAAACTAAATCAAGTTACATTCCAGTTATCGTGTTTTTAATTTCTTACTTGAAGACATCAATGTACTCTTCCAATTGTATCGAGGCCAACCACTGGTCGACCGTAGGAACAGGATGCTGATTGTTATTTAATTTGTTGTTCTTAGTCGCATCCATTAACGTAGGTGGTTTTGGCAGCTTTACAATCTCATTAAGCAAAGATTGACGATCACGTTCAGGTATGCCACATACTTCAAGGTCGTTCTCGTTGGAAATTAAACCATTCAAGTATCGAGGATCATCGTACCCATTTTCCATTAAATGTTCTTCGAGATGTTCCATTTTAATGTCATTAAGCCAACGCTTAAGCTCAGAGATTTCTTCCTCAATTATCGGACTATTCAACTTTGAATCACTTTTTCCAACTGCTTCTCCTGATTCTGCATTTTTCAAGCCTAATCTTTGTTTAAACTCATTTTCAATATCGTTTACAAATACTGATTCTCTTGCTATGCCAGACCCAAACGACTCCATAATTTCTGATATTTTTGCCCATTCTTCTTGTTCATCAAATGGACTCATCATGTTCACACCTCGCTCCAAATTAGAGCCGTTGTTATTGTTATTATTATTACTACTGATGTTGTTGTTATTTGTCATCATCTGTGCGCGAACAGCTTCGTCTTGCTTGTGATTATTTTGTGAGAATGTTGTCAAATGTGTATTAAAAGTGTTTTGATTATTTAACGTCATCGTCGAGCCTTTGAAGAGACCTGAATAGTTGAAGAAACGTTGAAGAAGTCAAGGAGATGATGAAGAAGACAAAAGAGAAGATAAAATTAGTAAAAAACATAAACAGAGCATACATTTGAATAAATATTTGATGAAATGTTATAATGGTGAAGAGAAAATATTTTTGTGACTTTAACGAGAAGAGAAAAGTTCTTGAGTTTCACTTTTGTTTTACATTCCTCGCTCTATATCACTAAAAAATAAATACGAAGAACAATTCACTATGTGATTTGAATTCATAATTTCTTTCCATTGTCAAGATCAAAAAAATTATTCTTCACTTTTGACATCGAGTAGAAAAATCTATTTGTAAATACAGCGGCAATCATTCGCTTTTTTGTGGTGAAAAATACTTGAAATTCCAATGTTTAACTGAGTTAAATTGTGAATCACCTGTTGAATGAATGAATGAATGAATGACTCAGAAACTTCACATAAACTTATATTGTCTACTTGAACAGTGACAGACTGAAATTTAGGTTTTTTGTTTTCGTCTTTAACGGGAGAACATTAAGAAACAGAAGGAGAAGAAAAAAAACTTAAATTCAGCTACTGCTGCCTCGTTTTTTATTCATTCTTTCATTACACGCAATCCCAATAAGTTTCAGCCACACCAAGTTAAGCAATAGACAATTGAAGTGATTTGCATATATTCACTTCAAATAAAGAGCAACCAACGATCACAATGCAAAATTGCATTCGTTGTTGAAATTATTCCGCAATCTGACCTTTTTTTTTGTGAATTGTGAGAATATTTATTTACGCAACGCACTGAATCTCGAGTAAATTAAAGAAGTCAAACAGCCTCGACGATGTTCATCGTCAGACGAAATTGATTTTCTTCTGGTATTTTTAGTCGTGTGATTTCATTTCTCGAGATTCAATTTGATATACATGTATCTACCAACAATGTGCGCACTTTAAAGTCCATAAATAAAAGATAAACATGCTACCAAGATAAAATATTTTTATTTGACTGAAGCTGTTGACTTAAAACAATAATCAAATTCAACTCACTATCACATTAACTGGAATATTAGTTTATAAGTTATTATCACTTCTCTTCACAAAATCAGAACACATTTCATGATCGGAATGAAAGAGTAGAAAAAATCTTTCTTAAAAATTAACTCGGACTTTATTTTCGACGTATCTCGCTTCACATCCACCGATCAACTGACGTTTAATAAAAAAAAATGCATAATAAACGAAAAAATAAAATAAAATTGAGAAAGAATTCTCTCGCGTTTCTACTCGCTATTCAAATGTGTATGTTGGCAAAGTGAGAGTAGACTCTCAGCTTATTTTCTATTTTTTAATACTTTTTTATAATAATTAAATGCCAAACGTTATCAGCATACACTGCTATCGTTCTCTAACACTCCCTAAATTCGCGCTTTAAAAGTTGTAAAGCCATTATTTAACAAAAATACGAAAGAAAACTTATCGCGTGACGTCACGAGTTTCATTCCAGAATGACGTGAGAGAATTAATGTTGTTTCAAATGATTAACAAGAATACTCACCAGCAAAAGGCGCATCTCCATGATACTCTTCAACGCAGTCTGTTGAACTTGATAAAGAGACAGAGCTCAGCGAGCCACTTGATGCCGATGCGGGTGATTTATTTAAATCCAATTTACCGGAACACCTCTTATATTCCTATTGTATTTAATGCCATTATATCGACATCAGAGATGCATTCAATTTATTCACAACATAAAACCATTTTATGCGCCGTGATTCAAACGAGAGTTTCAATAGAAAAATTATGAATAACATAAACGAAGATCGAGGAGAAAGAAAGGAAAAGAGAAGAAAAAAGAAACCGGAAAAATTATATTTCACAAATTAGAATTGAGCTGAGATTGTGGATTATTCATTGGATCACGCGATGACTTTGTCATTCACGAAGGAACTTTTTCTTGTTTTGAAATCGAAAATTGCGCAACATGAGGGCCTTTAACATGAGAAAATAGTTTATTGATAGACACATGTGAACAAGAATGTGTCTCTTAACTGTGATTAAAAGAATGAAATGCGATAAAAAACTGCTCTGACATTTAATAATTTATGAATGGGGGCAGGAAAGGCTGGTTTAAGTTTGTAAACAAACACACATATGAGAGAAACGTGTTCCATATCGTTGCTTTAAACTTAGCAGAATATCGTACATAGTAAAAAGGCGCAAACATTTCATGACGTGAAGAAAAGAAGTTACAATGAGATATTATAAGACTTATGATCGAAAAGTTCATGCAGTCAATGATAATAATTATACAAAGAAAAACAACAGGAAAACCGAAGAAATTAATTACAGTAAGAAAGAAAAAAAAATAACTCAAAAGAAATTAGCAGTTGTTTAAACAAAAATAAAATTCTTTTATTCAAACGATATATTTTTTTATTTATAAGTGAGTAAATATAATAAATTTCCTTTACTGCTCTTGACTTAAAATTTACTTAGGAAACAATGTTAAAAAAATGATGAAACACAAAGCAAATGAAAATAAATTTTAAAAAGGGCGATTTACCTTAAGTTGATGGGAGTTTCTTGACTTTATTAAAGTAAGTTAATATTTTTTTCTTTTCAATTACTTAAGTAGCAAAAAAACTTTCTTCACAGTTCGAGTCATCACAAATTTCTGTGTTAAAATTATTTATTCATCATTCGTCACTCTCCACAAGTCAAAATGAAGTAAATCGCCCTAAACAAATACAAAAATAAAATCTGATGGATTGTTGTGTCAGCTAGCAGTGGAGACTCTGACTCTCCCTTTTAATTACAACATATTTCTTTTATTTTCATGGCAATTGCCCAGCGTGATTGCGAGAACTTCCACTGCTTTTATTCTCAACTCTAAAACACTCCTATCATGGGATCGCTTTCAAAAAAAAAAAAGAATTAACTCAATCGATAGGAGTGGACAAATTAGGCCTTCTTTTTGATGGTTTTTACATCGTCAACAATAAATCATAATCTAAACAGAATGTAACAAAAACTAATGTTTTCTTTTAACAACAAAAAAAATTAATCTGTGATGAACTGTGTTTAGACAGCAAACACACACACGTGGACTGATAAATAATTCTTTGACGTTTTAATGATAAACATTTCAACTCGTGATTGTTTAGATTTGGGAAGAAGCAGAAGTTAAGAAAAGAAAATGCGGTTGTTTGGATTGTATGATAATCTTTCTAGGTCATTCAATGATGTTTGTGGCGAAAGATTTGATTCACATTGAGAAAGAGATTTTGTAAGAAAAATTAGCAAAATTAAGGAATACTAAGAAGTTGATTGTCATCAACAAAATACTTTAAGTCTAAGCTACCGCCAAATGACAATGAGTCTGTTCAACTAATGACAACGTCAACTCTTTAAAATGTTTTATGTGTGTTGTATGTAAATATTGAGAGATATTTGTAAACAGTCGCAGCGAAAGAGAAAAATAAACGAAAATTAAGTTCACTGTGAGTTTTTTTTGCAAGCATAGTGAGAATAAATAAATAAAATGAGGGGAGAAAAAGTTTGAAATAATTTCAAGATTCGAAGGAATATTTTTGTGTGATGTTTTGGAAAATTAGCATCGATTAAAAACAGAACAATTTGAAGCAATATTTGTACGATTTGTTAAACAATTTTCATTAAACTTTTAAATTATTACAATACTCATTAGACAGTTAGTTTCTTCACTAGTTCCCTCCCCTTACTTCTTTGCTGAATTCTTTAACATTGTCGAAATTGTCATTGTTTTTCTTTGTGGCTATTCTTACACGCTTTACAAAGTTTCCTCTTGACAATTGCACATACACGACAACTTTTCACAAACAATGAGTTAACGACAAATGGCAGAAACATGTCTCGCCTTTAATTATGATTTAAATATTCATTTTACAACCAGCGTCCGGTTGAAGGACCTTTAATTGTGATGACAAACTTAATACAAATCAGTCACAGATGTTTTCTTGTACTTGAATTGATCCATAGGAAGATAATGCTCCTCACTCACCTGACTCAATGGTCTGATACGTTCATGAATGTAGCGTTCAGCTTCACCTGCACTTGGTGGTGCATGTTCGGGTGTCGCTGGTTGAGGGTAATGTGTTGGACTCAATGGTGGTTCGTTGGGATTACGTCGAATTTGAACAAAAGTTCTGGAAATGAAATCAAAATTAAATTCTTTCTGTTTTGTAATGTGTCAGTTTAACTTACTCAGTTTCATTTATATTTCCAAAACCATCTTTAGATCGTCGAAGTTTTCTATGTGGATTTGCAACTCTCACAATTTTATCATCGTAATTTTCTGGCATTGTTATTGGTGCGTTCATAATGATGTAATCAGCATCGTTCTTAATCTTTTCCTCGACAACTTCTTCAGCTGTCTTTGGCTTTGATTGTGGCTGATGCTGATCTTCAGATTCACCACTATGCGACAAATAAAGGAACTCATAAGGTCCACGCTGCTTGCTTCCACTCTTTGATGATTGTTTTTTATTATTTGACGATGTTGATGATGAACAATCAAGTTGATCGTTTGAACTGTGACGAATGTCGTAGTCAAGGTCTAAAGAATGACTCATCAAGTTGAGTGATTGTGGATGAGTTGGCGGTGAAATTGAATGAGATTTCCTCGGAGGTTTCAACGGCGCTGATTTAGAATTCTTTGGTCTTATAGCGACAAGAACACCAGCTGGGCTTGGTGTTGGACTTGGAGCACCACCGAAACTTCCCATTGATGATGATGGACTTGTTGTCCCGCCATAAGTTTCATAATGCTCGTGATAACGATGATGTTGTTGATGTTGTCGTCCTCCACCCCCGCCACCGCCTCCACCTCGATTGCTATTCGAAGAAGAACCTGCTTGATATCCACTATAAGATGAACTGTGACCACGTCTTTGATATCTGACGATACTTTCATGTAAGTCATCTGATTCACTATCATAAATACTCGACTGTCGATGATTATTAATTACATTTCGAATTCGATTCACAACATGAGCTGGAAATTCATCTAATAAATCAAAAACCGTTCGTCCATCACAATCCATCAAATCCATATCGATTCCTTCACGAAGTAAAGTCTTCACAACATTTTCTTTTCCACATAGTGCAGCTTCATGAAGCGCACTTCCGTTTGGTGTTAGAATGTTTACATTACAACCGGCTGCAAGTAACATGTCAACGATGTCACGATGTCCATTTCGACTAGCAAGATGTAAGGCGGTGTGATTGATTGGAGTTGAAGTAGCTTTGAGTGGAAGGAGAAGCTCGTTGTGTGCTCTTATCAAGATTTGTACTACTTGTAAACGACCTGAAATGTCATTTTATTGATTAATTCATCAACATTAAAAGACATTTTACGATTTTTTCTTACCATATTGTGCACCAAGATCCAGTGGTGTCTCATCCCGACAATTCAAGACATTGGGATCAGCTCCATGAGCCAAGAGTTCGATCAGTGTTGTCAGATGACCATGTTGAGCAGCAAAATGCAAAGGAGTCTCATTCTCTGCTGTTAAACCATTGGGATCTGCTGGTAATGTGGGATGAGTGAGCAAAAGTTTGCAAATGTCAGCATGCCCTGCCCATGCAGCAAGGTGCAACGGTGATGAGCCTCGGGTGTCTAATAATATTGGATTGATGTCGTCATGCGAAAGTAAAAGCTGAACTACATCGCTAGAAAAATAAAAAATTTTGGATTCAATTTCAAAGTGTAGGCGGAGATGAAGGTGAATTAAAAATATAATTGTGTTAAAACGGAAAAGCAAATGATTTCTCTTTAATTAAACACTTACGTGTGTCCATTTAAAGATGCATGATGCAAAGCATTGTATCCAGAGTTATCTTGAGTGTTTACTCCAACACCTCGTCGTAAACTGAAAATAATAGAAAAGACATTTTTAAGTTTCTTCTTTTATTCATTTTCTTTTTTCTCATTAGAGAAATTTTTCTGGGCCATGAAGATGGAAAAAAAATTAGTGCAAAAACTTTCCGCGAAATTATCTTGAAGAACTTTCATTGATTTCTTATTTACGTAAGTTCAAAACTTTAATTAACTTGAACTAATGCAATTTCATTACCTGTGGAAGGCAGATTTCTTGGATTTGTGATGGTTTAAGATTTTCTCAACAGTATTGTAATCGCCTTTTCTGCTTGCTTCCAACAATTCACTGCTGTCATATTTTCCCATGATTGCACTAAATTTTGATTTTTTACATTACATTTCACTAATTTAACATCACAGTCAAACAATACCATTCAGTTTTGATTTTTAATTGAGACTTATTTTAATTTTTCACCAGCAGCAGTGAAAAGTTTTCATCCACCCAGGGAATTCTAAGCGAAAACTCAAGTTTAGTATTGATGGATTCTGATTTTTAATTTGTAGTAAAAGTTGTAGTTGAATGAAATTGTGCATAGAAGAAATGTTGGAATTACTCACAACAAATCTTGATAATCCGGAAAAGTTTAAAAAAATTAAAACCGTTAAAAAGTTTTTCAGCTTGCAAGAATGGAAATCTTTCTTTTCTTTCAGATAAGATTTGTTTGTTATTGTTGTAATATAATTTATTACTTTTAGCATATCAAGAAACATGCAGTTTTTAATATTTCTACATGTTTCAAAGAAATCATTCTGAAATGTAATCAAAGAAATCTCCGACCAAGAAGTGGCGATTTTCAATATGTGAAAAGAATGAAAATCTCATTATTTAAATTTTAAATGAAAGTTGATTACTTAGGTAATAAGTTAAATAAATTTGAGGTTCGGTGCATATTTCCATCGCTTTTTTTAAAACATTAAAATAAAACAAACTTAAAACAAATAACGAGTAGAGAAACCGAAAACACTTTTTACTCATCATTTAACTTAGTTTTAATAGTAAAAAAGTAGTAAAGTGTTTTCTACTCGTTATTTCTTTTAGGAATTCCCATAACTCATAACTTTTTAAGTGCCGAAACGAAAACAAAAATTAAATTTAAAACAAACCCTTTCCAATTTTCATGGCCATTTCCAAAATTAAATTATGCACTGTAAAAGCGATTGAAATTAAAAAATCGATAAAGCAAAAGTTGTTTTTATTACAATGTATGCCAAAAAGCAACCCTTTCACTTGTTTGAGATTTCTGTTAAATTGTTTCTCCCTATGCATAAAATATTTGAAGCTATAATTGCTAATAACATTTATTCGACTGCCATGTAACTTTATACATATATCTGCACGTATTCCGCATTTTAATCAATATTTTCCAGAATATCTGCAGCTCGTGTACAAGTACAACAACTAAGCATAATTCTTTGTTCAAGGAGATTCCAAGGGCATCAGGAATCCATGAAAAGTTTAAAATGTTATGTAATTGTCTTCGGTGTTGCTATAACTGTATGCTATTGCTATGTTCACCACATCGTATAACTCATGATAGAAAGAGAAAGTTTCTGGAGCAAAGTTGCAACACAACACAATCAACAACGAGTTCTAGCCTTGAGTTAGTAGGGAAAAGAACGAGACAGAAAAGGGAAAACTGTACAACGAGCAGGGAAAAGCACTACCAAGCGCACTCTTCTAGTTGACATGATTGAAACAAAAAATCATCCCAGAAATTTATACTTGAACTTGAAATTCATTTTCCAACCAATCCGGGAAGCGCTCGATAGAATATAGAATAATTTTTTTAAAAAAACATTTGGCAAGGTTTTAAGGGAAAGTTGTATGCTTTGTTTGCATTTATATAATTGAGTACATAAGGAGGTATTTATATAAAAATGAAATTGATGGATGATGGATTTTCATATCTGGCAAATATCCATTTGTAAGAATTTAAATATGAGTATAAAACGAACAATTAAAATAGCTTTCAGATATGGAAAACAACTTTCGATTTTAATTGAATATTTGCACAATGGTTTTTCCAATGAATGCAAACAACATAATTTTTACAGCTAATAAGCAATTATGTTGTCGTTATATTTAACATGACTCATAAAGGTAATTGGAAAAGTTTACGCGAAGATTTTCTTCCACACACAAGTCTCATAAATATTCAAAGGCAAATAAACACTTTAAGAACTTTAAAACTTTATAAGTGAAGTAAATATTTCTCTAAAGTTAGATAGTAGGTAGTGCTTTGCCAACATATATTTATTCCATGCATTAAACACATTCTTAGAAGCGGATGTTTGAAGGGTGGAAGAAGCCTATAACGTCTCGTTTCACTAACATGAAAGGTAAACATGATTTTGATGGAATTCTCTGTTAATATTTAATCAAGATTTACAAGAACTTAGAACGTACGAAAATGAAAATTGGCAGATACAAACTATGATTAGATAGATAAATATTAAACTTATTAAAGTATGTTTTAAGTACACTTCTTAAAACGAAACAATCCTTAAACATTTCATTTTCCATGAGAATGGCGACGTTTTGATGTTTTCTTTTTCCTTTTATTCATGCAGCATTTACTTGGTAGGTAGCGAGATTCCTTTATGACATAGCAGAATAACACTTAGCAGCATCTTTTACCGAAATTGCGTTTTAAAAGTGGATTAGAAGCATCGTAAAAACTGAAACGTAGATTTTATTGAATCGTTTTAGGTGATGTGGAAATGCGCTTTTTTCCTGTTTTAAACATCAAATCATGAATGTTTGAGCATCCTGAATCTCGTGCTTAACTTGCATTAAAAGGAAAATATTTTAAGGTGAACGACCTACAAGCTTTAGAAAGAAAGTTTTACGTCATGATTTATTTAAATTTTATTTTTATACTCTTGAAAATGTTTAAATCATTTCATTGAAAGAATTTTCTAATCTGTCTGTTCATAGACCAGTTTCGTTTAAAAGAACATTTTTAATGAAACATTTTCTTTGCTAGAGAACTTCGTCTCGGTTTCTTCAACTTTTCGATGTTCTTCGAAATGATATCATGTAACAGACAATAATGATTTCTTGCTTCACTCATCATCAGCCATAAGCCGATAAGTTCTTTTTTGTCTAATTCCTCCAATTCGTGCTTAAAATCTTCGACTTCTGGAAAATCCATGATTTTTATTACAATGTTAGCTCGAGCGCTAAAATAACGAGCAAAGCGATCATTCATTGAACATGCATCTGACTCAATTGATCTTATTTCTGACAGTGCTTCGGCTTGAATTGAAATGCCAAAGTCTGAACCTCCATCAATTTTTGGAATTTGCAATTTTATCCAAACTTTCAAGAGATTTGCATCTTCAATGAGACCTCGAACAATTGGCTTGACTTCATTGATTAATTCTACGATTTGAGCATTGCATTTAAGAAATCCAGAAGCGTAGGCACCATCATCAGATTTATAAATAAACTGGACGTCATTCATGATGTTATTTTTATTAAGAAATTCTTCAATTTTAGCCATTTTAGGTGGAAATCCAGATTCAAGCATCTCTTCAGCTTTTCTCATTAGCTTATCTTTGAATTCGTGCATCTGAAATGTTAAAGATTGTGTTGTGACTGATAATAAACAATTCAGCTTAGAACTGAAAATGTGGAAAAGCTTTTACTGAATTAACACTCGTCTGGTCATCGCCGTTGGACATTTCTAAATTTGATACTTCAGATTTATTTTAAATCAAAATGAGATCGAATGAATTGTTCCGATAAATTTATCTCAAAAACTGAAAATTTGAAAAATGAAACCAGGAAAGGTGACTGAGTTCGAGTGAAGTCTGAGAATTCTGAATACATAACAAGAAGATGAAATTCTTAGTACCCATGGAAATGGAAGATGAAGACTTGAGAATGATTCGAAACGTTTGTCAAGTAGTACAAAATTAATAAAAGCAATATAAATTTGTAATGCAAAACTTGAGTTTTATTTTGCTTTTTATTCATAAAAATGCGTTTAACTGAACCAACGTTTGACAAATGAACTTCTATGTGGCTTCTTCAACATTTTAATATTTTTCTCAATAATGTCATGCATCACATAATAATGATTTTTTGTTTGATTTAAAATATGCCATATCGCAATGCATTCCTTCCCGTCAAGTTCTTTGAGATGATGTTTAAAGTCATCAACATCTGGAAATGCTGCAACTTTCTTCACAGCTATAGCTCTTGTTCTGAAATAATTTTTGAATCGATCATTCATTGCATAAGCATCTGCTTCAATTGACATTATTTCTTCCAAGACATCTTTATGCACACTCAAATTTAATCCTTTTTCATTCGGAGGAAACAGAAAATTTATCCACATTTTCAATAAATTTGCATCATTCATGAGATCTTGAATCGCTGGTTTTATAAGTTCAAAAGTATCTAAAACATGTGAATTACTTTTGAAATGCTCGTCAACATCATTGCCAGTCTTCTGATTGATATTTTGATGTAAAAGTTGACGTTTAACTAACAAATCGTCAATATTTCCAATCCTTTTTGAAAATTCGTGAGTGATCAACTGTTCAGATTTTTTAATCAAAGCATTTTTATATGCTTTCATCTGAAATGAATTAATAATTAAATCAAAATATAGAATATGAAGGGAATTACTTCAGGACTTGAAATTTTCATTGTTTGGCAATCTAAACAAAATTTGATAATCAAAAAAATATAAAAAAAGAATTTGACGTGAATTTTTAGATCCCAAAGGTGACTTTAAAATCTCTTAAAACTTAAATTTTCTGTCGCAACAATTTATTATTTCATATTTTCACAATCAATAATCAATTCCAATTCCACTGTCATTAAGCTTTGTTCAACGACCCAAAAGCTTTAACAATATCCATGTTATTGCTGCACTTTACGATCCAATCTTTAGTTGCCGAACATTTCTTTGATTCAGTCCATTGATCTTTGGGACAACTCTTTAATTAGAATGGAAAACAAAAAGAACATTCGGGAGTTAATTTTCGATGTTTATCTTGTTAATTTACCTGGTAAACTTTGAAGTGATAACAAGCTCCCATTGCAACAAAAGAAGCATTGCATTTATCCTTTTTAATGTTGAAAGGTGCTGCTTCCAATATCTTGGCTATTGCATCTTTTTTCTCAGAAACATACTTTAAGCAATCGGTTACAGCTGCTTTTGTTACAGGCTTCCAGTTTGGATCATGAACTTGTGTATCGATGTACTTTTGAGTAGCCGCGTCATCAATTTCAGTGCCCTTCGTCAACTTTAATTCTTTGAATAGAGATTCTGAAACTTTCTGAATATTTAAAGGAACAAAGATAAATTTAAACGATGAAGTTAATCTAAATTCTTGTTCATAAATATTTACACAAGCCATCATAAATCCATCAAGATGTTGATCTTTTAGTTGGTCTACAATTTTATCAATTGCATCATCAAAACTCATGTCGGGAAAGTTACAACATTCCTAAAACAAACATGAGTTGATATTAATTGCAATTAAAGTTTTAAACGAACTTTTATTACCTCGAGATCCATTTCTTCAGGAAGCTTATCACATTGTGCTGCAGTTTGGTTCTAAAAAAAGTAAAAATGTTTGAACTCCACACAAGTTTTATCGTAAAAATAAAACTGCACAACTTACGATAAAAACCACACCAAAACAGATGAAATAAATAATAAAAGCTTTCATTGTTTATGTGAGTTTTATTTTTGGTTCTCGACTGAAGTTTTGTTTTGAAGTGTTGGCTTTAAATAGTGAAAGATAACAAAGCATTAATAAAATATACCCAAAAGATTAACTATCGGAAGTATGATTCACAAATTTAATCAAAATAAAAAATTTAACCTTTTGAAATTGCCATTCTATGCTTAAAACCTTCAAATTATTCTCACAAATCTGATTTCAGTCAGTCATTGATGAAGGTAAAAGTGGAAAAATTACTAGTTACAGTTAAATTCCATTATGAATTAAGTTGATCATTAAGTGCTATGGCATTTGTATAATTTACATAAATTAATATTTTTTTGTGACTTGATGTGTCTCGCTGGATGTGTCATGCATAAAATGATAAACACAATAATTAATCATACATAAAAAGCCATGACGACTTAAATAAACATTCACGCAAAGGTTTCAAAGATCCATTTGGTAAATTTGTTCATTCTTCTTCTTAATTTTGTTTTTCATTTGAAATTCTAGAAACAAATAAAGTTAGTTAAATTTACAATCAGAAATGCACAAATTTTCTTTATTTAAATATCCTTTAAAGTCACACTCGAAACATTAAAACATTGAAAACGTAAATCATCTTCTTATTAAACATCAACATATGAGCAAATATATTTTACACGCTTGTCAAACTCGCTTTCAATTCTGATTAATCAACGTCGATGTGCGCTATTTTCCATAATATTGCGTACGCATCCATCGTTGCTATTTACTCACATGCTTGGAAAGCAAACATTGACAATTAAGGATCTGATAAAATTAATTAAACACTCCCGATTGCCAAGGCAGCATAAGTATCTTGCATATATTAAATTAATTTCTTATTAATGTCTTCAAGATACATGAAAGGAAAAGAAATAAAAAAAGTCATTATTTAAAAGGGTTACGTGGGTGGAGATTGATTAATATGCTTACATGGAAATAGCCCGAGGGATTAATGAAACTCACAATGAAATGCTAATGTGTACTTTATAGCATGATGTATTGACGTGATATTTGTCTTCAAACACGCGAGAGATGATTTCATTGTTTTCTCAAACACTAGTGCTGGTTAATGTGGTTCAACATTGCCACATTTAATTAAACCAGAGGGAACATTTCTGCCACCTCCGCATAATCTTCTTCAAGGAAACAAGCAAGAGTAAGTCTCATGCTCGTTGTTAAATCTCTTCCACATACGTTCTTTAACATTGAAATCTTCTTGGAAGACTCGGTAAGTTTCCATAAATATCAATGTTAATGATCCATGAAGTTTGAGCTTCTTGTCAGGGCTTCAACTTAGTTGTCTCTCACGACTCGCTTTCTACAGCATTCGACATTCGACGTCATCCAACCATGAAGCTTATTACGCTATGTAGAAGTTGGCTGTAATTTAAGAACTCTTATAGTGAAGATGAACGAGACGTAATTTCATTATTTTTATGGGCTTCTAACTGGAGTATAAGTATATCGTAAATAATGAAATCTTTTGCCAAAAATTTTTGCTTGTGAGACATGGCGCTTCCTTCTTTAATGTTGTAAATTTTCACATATTTCCCATTAATGTTACGACAAAGAATTGCGTGTTCAAGGAAAACATGAACAACTTTCGATAGACATCATCATTTATGATATGTTACGCTGAACATAACATTTTTTATCCCACAAGCATTGTATCTCAGACAGTCTGAGTCGCGACAAAAACAACGGCAGAACATTCGTGTAACTGAAGTAAACGAACGTCCTTAAACTTGAAACAAGGATAATAAAAAGGATTTAGATTGTTTTCGTGCATTAGAACTGGCGGAAAAAGGAATCAGCGAAGGTTTACGAGAGGATCTAAGCTAAGAAATCGAATCGAAAGACTTGAAAATATAATCGAACATCAGAAATTCGTTTTCCCAATAAAACGATAAGATAGTAAAGTGAACATCTGATGTCGACCGTCACACACTTACACTCGGGTCATTGTCATCATAGTGATCCATTAAACATCACTTATTAATATGTAATTTCTAATATCGTCGAATGGCAATTTCTGTTCAATAAAAATCCACAATATCGAAATTTCATCGAGCACATAACCAGATGGGACGTAGATAAGACGATGTATTTAGTCGCAACTCGTGTCTGTCGCTTGAGCAAGTAAAAAGAAAAGCGTTTATACATCTTTAATCTGATGGCAATTCATGAATTGTGGGGAGAAAAAAAGTATGGTTGAAGACTTCAAGGCGAAATGTCAAATATTTATACGTGTGTTTGAGATAATATGACAGGAATTCAACTTTAATTTGACAAGAGATGTGATAACTTTGGATTATATTTGAAAACTATTATGTTAAAGTATCTTGAAACAAACTTCAGTTGGAATGTTTAAAAAAATTATCTGCACACGAACAGAAAAAACTTCCAAGAAGGATAGAAATTTCAAATATTTTCATGCTTAGATCGACATATTGTCATGAATACCTTAGCAAAAAGCTCATGTTTTATGCTTTTTTACAGTGAAATCGAAACTTGATCGTAAATAAAAAGAAAGCAATGACAAAGTTTTCTTGCATCCAAAAGTGTTTCTTGTAAATTGTTTGCGTTACACAAAAATCTAATCCATTATGTTTAGTTTGGTAAGATAAAGAAGCCCAAATCAAACAAGTTGAAAAAAGTTTCATTTATTCATTGTCTGCGTTATTGAGTTAGTTTAACTATAAATTTTCTTCTTTTCTTAGTTCGATTTTGCTTATTCCTGTCTATTTTGCCTTCCAGAATCAGGAGAACTTTTCTAAGAATTTAACTGTGAATGCATGAAAATTGTCTGTAAATTTATTTTGTTGTCTAAATTGTTCTTGAGCCAGTCATCAATTTTATCATGACTCGTGTTTTTAGACATAACAACGTCAAATGTTTTTGATTAAATACTCATTTGATTCTTAGACTTCTCTCAAAAAAATATTAAAAATTTATTGAACATTTTTTCTCAAGATCTGCTGAAAAAGCTGAAGAAAGGAAGCTTGAAGAACTACAAATAATTGTTGAATAATTCTTTTTATCTATGAAAGTCATAAATGATTAACATCAATATAAATAAATCGTGTTTAATAAATTTTCTTGTAATCATAAGACATGACAGTGACAATTTTTTTCATTTCTTTCAATCAAAATAATCACCTGAATTGCTTAACACTATTGGACAATATTGTTTTGCCATTTCTATAATTGCTGTTTTCGAATTAGTTCTTACTTTGTGCCCCTGACTCATGCGATTAAACAAATGCACAAGACTTGAATCTTTTATTCTCTCAAGAGTTTTTTCATAAACTGAAGAATCTTCTGAAAACAGAACGCCGATTTCTCTAAATGATATCTCACTACACATTTTAGTTGGTAAGATTGTTACACCAGAGCAATTGTACTTCTCATTAATTGGTTTCCTTGGAAGATCACAAAATTTGTTTATCACTTGTGTTACAAGGTGAGGTCCATTCCACGCCCATGCATGGCCATTATAATTTGTCATGAATTCACTGATAAATTGTTCAATGTTTTGAATCATTTAAATTATTTTATGTGTTGATGATTTTACCTCAAAAACTTTTCTACTAACTCATGTCCAATTGACATAGATTCGAATCTCATAATAGCATTGTTTATAAGAGAAGTGTTGTGTTGTTCGTCAAAACTTTCAACACCAATAAAATTGTTCTCTTCAATGGAATTTATCGATGCCTTAGATATGACATCAGTATCTAAATATGTTCCTCCATATCTAGAAATGTTTAATTATTTTTAAATGACATTCAGAAATTATAAAACTTTCTCACTTTAAAAGAAGAAAAAGCCTCAAGAAATTTGAAATATTATTTCCCAGAAATGAAGAGTCATAAAGTTTGTCACTTTCAATCCAACTTTCAGCAATTGAACCTTGAATAAAATCTCTTAAATTGATTCTGCAAAGCTCCACGTTTTTATAGTTCATTATTGACTTGACAGTCTCTGAGATGTTTAATTTTATTCTTGATACAAAAATAACATAAATTATTGAATCGGGATTCAATAGAGCTGCCGATTCGATACTACATGAGGCACGTTCTTTCAAATCGCCAATATCACTTGATCCCAACTTAACGCCTGAACTTTCAATGAAGAAAATTCTCTCAGATTTTGATAAATTTGTGTCATTAAAATCTTTTAAAGGCAAAAATCCTTTTAATTCTTCAGACGGTTTCGGTTTGATCTGAGATTTGAAGTCATCTTCATTATAATTCCGAAAACTTAAAAAAGATATCACAAGCATAATTATAATTCCAAAGGAAAGTGCTATGAATTTCCCTGAAAACTTGACAAACATTTTTTCTTCAATAAGTTAAGTTAATTTCAAAATGTCTAAATGATCCGATGGAACTGTGGCGATTTGGTTTAAGTTTGTGATACAAATATTTTAAAACTTTTAAAAATCGTGTTACTGAGTCTTAAAAATATTGCACTAATAAAAATTAAACAAATTTTTAATGGAGAGAGCAAGAAATGACACAAAATCATTATGAACTGTCGCCGACCTCCAAAAGAATTGAATTTTGAATTAAATATCATTAATAATGAAGTCGCTTGTTACAATTTTTATAGGAATTCGTTAGGATGCATCCTTAAGAAACATATTGTAACCTCATTGACGTTGGTGCCCAAAAGCATTCATGTCGTTCAAAAATCGAATTTTCAGGTCGGTCGCCGTAAATCGAAAAAATAAAATTGTGCAAATTACGAACATTAACGTGCAAGCAGCATTTACAACGTGCAACCATCGTGGGCAGTTGTGCAATAAACGATCAAATATTAAAATCAAAATCGTCATTGTTCATCATTCGTAGTCAGTAGAAATTTATTCTGATTTTTCGTAAATCAGTTCAATTAATACAAATCTTCAGTGGTTTTTCAAAGATTTCTTCTGTTTCGTAAAGAAACTACCGAACTTTTGATTATTTTAACTGAAGAAGAAAGATTATTATGATTTTATTTGTTTTCTTGTTCTTAAAAGTCGTAAATATGTTTTTTTGCGAGACACATTCAATAAGTTCCACGTTCAGCAAATAATATCTTTTGCTGCCAAAGGCAATTTTCTGTTTTTTGATTGCAATCATAAATATTCAGAATTGTCACTTTATCATCAAAGCGTTATAAAAATATGTATGTTGATGGTCTTTTATTATGTTAAGAAAATCATGATTTCCAAGGAAACTAAGAAACTCAATATTAAAAATCAAGAATGAAATTCAAATATTAACATCGGTTGTGAATTTCATTAACAAACATGCAATGAGAGATTGAGTAAAGCTTTGTAGTATTTACAATAAAATAAAAAAAGACGGCATTGCCATTAAGAAGTAAAAATAAAGCTTGTCAGGATTATGACATTAAGCATTGTTTAAACTACACGAACAACAAATTGTAATCGAACAAATGAAACTTTTACTTCTTCACTTATAATATAAAACACTTTTAATGAGAAAACATGCAACAAAGGGCAACTTCAAGGAAACAAATCAATTCGTAATTCGACATTTTTCTTTCTCCTAATTCTGCTCGAGTTTCTTGCCTTGTTTACAGCATAATAAAAATGGAGACAAGCGCCCATAAAAAAGTTTAAAAATGTATTTATTAGCGAGAGAAATATGATTATACTTTTTAAATTATATTGTTACACAGAACTTTTTATCCCTCGTTTCTCCCCCGCGCGCAAAACGAAATCACCCAGTAAAGCAGATAATAAAAAGGCAAAAACCTTTTCTCTTCTCATTCAGTCATACGAGTACACGACTATGAAGTTATCATCGTGAGGGAAAGTTAAAAAATTAAGAGGGTTACGGTAATATGAGAGCACACAAGTCGAGAGATGTTTGAATAAACATTTGGAAAATTAAGGACCAAATAAAAGCGGTGAATTTCCTTCAACATATTTATTTTCTCTACCTTGTTAGTTTTCCGAAAGTATTCAAATGCATTTTCAATATAATCATTACGATAATGAGATTGAATTGAATAATGAATAAGAAGAAAGTTGAAAGAAAAAACTTCTACAAGATAACTGAAGGTAAGCTGACTGTTATAATGTAAAATTTCACTTTTAATTCCATGTTGCTTATATATTTAACATAAATTTCCATTCAAATATTAAAATAGTTGATAAAATTCAAATATCAGATTAGACTGTTAACTTGTCCATTTCCACCACTCCAACAGCAAAAACAAATTTGCAATAAAAGCAATTCAAGAATAATAAATTATAACAATTTTGCTTCCGGTGAATCACACAACGCTTTTTTCCTCTTTAGCTTTTAACTAAATTAAAAGTAACAAATGTTTATAGTTACTGTCATTAAATTAATACGCTTAAATGTTATGCTATCAGTTCACCTTGTTTTTGTCTCTCCCCAATGCATCGACAACATCAAAACATCCTAAATGGCTAGCCGATAAAAGCGGATAACAGTTTTTGCGTAATATCACTTTAATTTGTTTGTATTGTAATAAAAATATATTTTTATGGGCATTTGAGCATGAACGTATACATGATGTGGTACCAAATGACCGGGAGGCAAGAAGAAATAAGAGCAGCGAAAGTATTTTGCTCGAATATGTTCAAAGTTAATTAGAATTTAAGTTACATGTAACTGCATGTTTATGTTAAGTATTTTTAACAAAATATTCTTACATTCTTTCCATCATTTAACATAATCAAATCACATGAATTGTCATGAGAGTGATCAGAATAAAAATTATTGATTCAAGAGGAGTTTGGAAATGTCATTTACATTATTAATGGAATCGTCATGGTAGAACTTCAAGAGAAACTCCAAATTATCTGGACAAGTTACGCATTTAATTAAATTCTTTCATTCAGCTTCGTTTCGTCGTGATGACTCTAATGATCACTTCAATATTCCTTGAATGTTATACTTAGCGTAATTTTTATCTGTAATCTAATTGTTGATGCTTAATTGAGTTTCATTTTTTCTTTCTGCTTGTCTTAAATTTAAAGACCGAAAAGAACCAGAAATAATTTCTCTTTAACACCGCGTAATATGTAAATTTATTCTAATCAAACGGCTTTTGAATCGCTCAAACCTTCAAAAGTTTTCTGGAAACAGAAATTAAAAAAAAGATATCAGAATGTTGTAATACATCTGACTCGTAATTTCATTTCTTTCCCTCTTTCTTCATCTCTTATGTAACATGGGAAACAACTTTAATCCTTAATGAAAAAAAATACGCAAAGGAATCACCCCAGTTCTTAAATCCGACAACGATTTTCGCGAGATATTTATTTCACCATGCAATTACTTCCATCTCAACTAATTTTTATGATCTCACGAAAATTTATTCATTTCTTGTCTCCTGTTGTTAAGGGAATGAAATTTTCCTTGCAATATTTTTTACGCAACTAATTCGATAACAACTGAAATCGAAACAAATTTTTTATTTAAAAATATTTAAACTGTATTAAATTAATTATAGTTTGTCTGCAAAATTCATCATACCGAACCAGTTTTGAGTTTACACATTTAATCAAATCCAGCAAATTTTAATTCGTCATCTTTAACTCAAATTCTGATTTAAAATTTGTATGTTTGCTGAAGAAATGTTTCATTAAAAATGTTAATAATNATCATGCAATTTTCTGCATGGAATAATTTTCAAGCAATAATCTGGTCGCGGAATAATTTATTCGTGGAAAAAAATATTCCTCTCCGAACCAGTTTTGAGTTTACACATTTCATCAAATATAGCAAATTTTAATTCGTCATCTTTAACTCAAATTCTGATTTAAAATTTGTATGTTTGCTGAAGAAATGTTTCATTAAAAATGTTAATAATTAAAGATTGAAAATGCAAACAAAATATTGTAATGTTCATCTCCCTTTCGTGTCAAGAAATTACAACTTATAACGAAGCCTCGCAAAAAAAAAAACTACACAAGATTAACAAAATTTCCTAATTACAAAACCTGTTTCGACATCAACAAAAAGTTATTTAATTTCATCTAACGATGCTCAGTCATGCGATCAGTTTACATTTTGAGTGTTTGAATAATTTTAATCGAATTATTGTTGACTTATTAATGAATTTCAATTCCACACATTTGAAATCACTCTTTAGGCTGTGGCAATATAAACCCTTTGACAGAAACTAAACTAAGTAAGTTGAAAGTAAAATTCTTCTGATTAACATTTTGATTTCGTGTTAAAATCATACGCATGAAAGACCACGCCAAGGGAGTTTGAATTCCGTCTTTTAAATAGACTATTTGTATGCATCTTAAGTAATGTTAAACAACACTTTGAATTCTTATTTGAAACTAGCAACTAGCCTACATAATCTATCACGCCCTTTGTGTTTGAAAATCATCGGAAAGCAATGTTTCTTGACTATCGAAGTCAGACTGGTTTATATAATAACGATGAATCTTTTTTAATACGCCTTCTAAAGGAATAAAAAGTTTTTGCTTCTTGGACATGCAAGAGATGGCCATCAAGATATCAGAGAAAGAAAAAGGGTTACAAGAAATTGTTCTTTAGATATGGAAAATGTTCAACATTGAGAATAAATAAGAAAGACTGTTCAATACTTCATTGAAGCTAGTCACCCATGTCACCAAATATATTTTAAAAAAAACGATAAAAATCAAGGCAACATAAACTAAATATCAACTTATAACTATTACACATTAAAAAGCATAAAAAATGAACTCACCCTTGTAGGAAATTGAGATACAAAGTCATCCCGAATATTTACATAAATTTACGAGTACGCCAGCTATCCAGTGAACTCTTTATGTACAAAATAAATAAATATCTACATTACAACAGATTTTTGTGTTTACTCTGAGTTTGAAGTAGAAGGGTTGAATTCTTCTCCAGTGGTGTTATGCTTGCTATTCTTCAGTCATTTTCTTATTACCTTTTCAAGCTGCTTCTTTGTTTACAATTTCGCTAATAATGAAAAGAAGATTTTCACGTCTGATACCCTTTACATCAACTAAAGAAAGTTTCATGAATCCCTTTACGATGGAAAACTTCATTTAATTTTTGTTGTTTTATGTTGAAGGAAAAAAAGTCGAAATCTTATTTAAGTGATTAAAACAGAAAACAACGAGAAGAAAATTAGAAAAATCAACACAACAACGAGACGAAACGAAACTTTTCTTCTCATGGAATGGGAAGTGATTACTGCGAATTGTAATTAATTGATATTGTAAACAGACAACAGCATTGAAGGGAGGAAAAACTTATTAAAAAGTTTTCGCTTTTTGATTTGCATTTTTTTTTTGCAAAATTATAAAGATTAATTTTGTTTTTACTTTTGTTTGCAGATGTTGGAAATTTGTTGAGTCTTTAAACGTATTTTGTGTCGAACAGCTTACAACTCACATCTTCTTAATAAGAATTTAAAATCTCATCGATTTTCCCAAACCAAAAATTATGTGAAGAGATAAATCGTGATATAAATTGTTCAATTCAAAGCATCTGAACACCATACATGGAATTTCCATTATCATCGATTAGGAAGCGGTGGGAAAATCAATTGGAAGAAAATGTGTTCATGTGATAAACATCGGTATTTGCAGTCTAAAAATATTTTAATTTTTTCCTTCATTCGGTATTGTCATTTTGGATCGATAGATTTTCTTGTTGATGAAGTTTTTTAAAATTTATGTTCGATTTCCAAGAGCTAGTAAATATTTAAGAAGATTAATGCACTTATCAGTTTGTCAACAGAATGCTTGATGTTATCACGTTTCAGTTGGTTTTAGTTCTCATACGATTTTTTTTACTAAAATCTAAAATCATCTGAGATGAAGAGAAGAGAGCATGTGAGCAATAAAAATTATCTTATCACTTCATATCGTCGTTCATCTTTAGTCTTGACTTAAGATAATCAAGAATGAAGCTAAACGGTTCTTTGCTCAGTAATATTTCAACACTTGCTAAACATTATACAAAAAAATGAATCAATTGAGAAATATTTTTTCAATTGGAATAATAATTTATTCAGTTGTAAATGTCGCATCAATATTCAAGACCGATTCATATGTGACACATTTTCAACATAGAATATCGACTCTTGAATTGATTCTTCTAGTAACTGACTACATGTCTAGTGTGCTATTGGTGTTAAGTGCTTTGAAGTCAATGGTTTGGATACTTTACATAACATTTCTCTTTATATGCCTCAAACTATTCCTGGTGTTCTTCTTCTACGAAGGGTCTTTGACAATGTTTGAGGTCGACTGGTATTCACTTCAGCTAGGTAAATAGAAATTTTTATTGAATTCCTCACTTATTTGCTTGATAGTAAAATAATTTATGAAACTAAGCAAATTTTTATTATCTTTTAGGACTTCTCGTGGTTGCAATGATCTCCACATTAGGCTTGATTTTAATTACTGAGAAAGAAAATCGTAGAAAGAGAGAAGAAGAAAACTCAAGATATCATCAATTGATCAATTCAACAGAGAAAACTTTTCTGATTTAGAAACAAAAAGTGCAAGTTGCAGCTGTCATGTTGACTTTGTTTTATTCAAAATTATCCAAATCGATTCTGAATGTTAATAAAGAAAAAAAAATGCAAATTGCATCGAATTCAATATTGCAGTTGATGATTTAAACTTTCATTTAATTAATTATTCAGCTGATGCATTTCATTGAGTTGCATTTATAATATTCTGACGAATTAATCTTCTTCTTTTTTTCATTTTCATTTAATGTTGAATGAAGTGGAAAGATTCCACGCTGCAAATTTCAATAAACTCATAAAGCATAAGATATTCAACGTATGTATGTTGGATTGTTTCGAACAGTAGTCTAGATTGTCCCGAATAGATAAAAGCATTATGTTATAAATATTCACTTAGATTAAGGGTGACAAATATGATTTTCTCATGCAACTGGCACTGAGAACGAGTAGAAATAAAAGAACAAATAAATTCTTTGCACTGGTTCGCAAAAAAAATAAATTTGTGCCAATGCAATGATCATGATAATAATCTGAAGAATTTATCATCAAATCCTTGATCGCATTGTCATGAAATATGGAAAGTATGAACCCAAGTAACGCAGCTAATAAATCAATCTATGTCGGGAATTTTTAATAAAGCTGTTTCCAATCTGGCTTTCGATTTTTTTATTCGACAGCATAATAAATATTCGAATTGCATTTTTATCCACAAAACATTTCTATTACGCATAGAATTCAACTGCCGCTGTTCAAGTGTTTGAGGAATTAAAATTCCAGACGCGTTAGCTTGAAGATTATTGATAGAAAGAAAACGACAAGGAATTTGTTGTTATATTATAAATCATTGAGCACCTTGCAAGTGTAGATTCAAAATATTTTCAATCAATTCAATGAAATATGATTTCGTTCGTTGACGAATATTTTTTCATTCAATCTGAAATTTGAAGTCGAAAACATTTTTCTTTCGTTTTCGCTTACATCGAACATCTTCAGATTCTTTTTCTTATGATTTATGTGATTTTTATACACATGATTAAGTAAAGTGTAATTTAAAGGATCGAAAATAGTCGTATTCGCATTTATATATTTACTAAATCTTTTGGTACGTTGGTTGATACAAGTTTCAATCTGCAGGCGTTGTTCCGCATCATTCGCATCGTTTATTTGGAGATTTATTTACAAGTCCTTCTTGTCATAAGTCTTTGTTTGCGAAAGCAAAGGAGAAGCATAACACAAAAACATTTCTGGTCTCATTTTTCGGGTATTGGTATTTTCATTACATATGGCTGCACAGAACACCAACCACCTCAAGGGTTCAGGGTTCGGAGAAGGAGACGCTTTCTAAATTTATCGATATTTTATTCAAATGACAATTTCATTGTTTTGCTGCTTTTGTTGTGGCGTGGAAATATTTTTCTTTCTGTGCCAGTTCATCGGTTCAGCAACTAAACACAAAAAGCAGATTATCGCGAACGAATTGAATGGTTGGTGATGGTAGAAGAAAGCGTCGCGAAACGCTTTTTTTTTTCGCACACAACCGGAGCGTAATTGTTTTTCTTTCTCTTCATAGCTCACAGGAAAATTGTGTAATAAATTATATTAAATTTTAATAATTCCAAGCTCCATGATTTATTTGTTGCATAATTTCAGTTTTCCTCCGTTACAAGAACTTTCCTCTCTTTCAGTTCATTGTCCTTGGCAAATGCTCGAAGCAAGTAAAAGGAGATTGTGACTTGAATAGAAAGGAAATTAACTCGTTGAAGAAAAAATCACACGCACATAACCTGTTGAGGATATCTTCAGGCTGAGTGATTGTGGGATTCATTGAGGAGTCGTGAAGAACCTTAAGATCACGTAGGAATATTTTAATGACTTTCTTCTTGAATTGCTTTTATTATTAAATTTCAATGGCGAACTTTTCAAGAAATAATTTTTCATCGATTTGATGATGACTTGAAGTAAGAAAAGAAACTTTCATTCATACAATTTGAAAAGCTTTTCAATGAAAGTATTTAAGAATGAAAACTTCTTTTATATCTCACGCTTTCAAACGAACACACAAATATCAATGTTTCAGCTTGTCTATGATGAAAGGATTTTGTTTGATATTTAAAATCCTTTTTACATAAATTATCACTATAAAAGTTTGAATATTTAATGTCAACGAGAACCCAAACATCATTGCTAAACATTTTACAGGTAACTTTATCAATAAGACAAATTCAAAAGTTTTAAATATCTTTTCGAAATGTCAGATACCTTTACAGACACGGACAAAAATAAATCACCGCATCAGAAAATCTTATCAAGATTTTGCTATTGGAAAGAATTCTTCTATAAAAGTGAGAATCGTGACTGTCAAGACTTCAGAAGCATTCGAATGTCTTGAAAAATTGAATATATTAAGTGAATGCAAGGAGTTCAGCGACACTTGAAAGGATAAAATATTTAAGCAAGTGTAAAAAAAGTATCATCGACATTATTTACATACCTGCACAACTCGTTTATTTTCAGTTAATGAATTAATTTACAATTAAATCATTATCATTTTTTTCCTGTAATCGTCTTTGGTATCCAAGCAATTACCATTTTAGATGGTTTGGTAACTTTTTTTATGAAACCTTTCGACTCATTAGATCGAAATTTCACAAACTTCCCAAAGACTTCTAATCGTTTGTCTAATGAAGTAAGTTTCCCAACCAACTAAGTGAAAAAATGCAAATGTTTATGCAAATTCAACGTTTTTGTTATAATTATTTCTATGCGAATTGTACAGAATATTCTGAATAGGGTGAAAGCAGCTTGCGATGGAATCATTGGAATTTTCTTTGACATTTGCAATTTCTTTATGAAACATGAAATTAAATGCAAATATTCTGTCAAGAATTTCTATAAATAATTGATAAGTTTTGCATAAAAATGAATTAAAAGTCTTCCGGGAAGCAACATAATAGAAGTACTTCAAATTGCAAAATCAAATCTCTTGCATAATATTTTTATGCTTGATAAATATCAAGGAGTGGATCTTAACATTAAAGTGATGTTTTCCTTGATTTCTTTTAACTTCTTTTATTAGAATAATTCTCATGAAACGTCACCTAAATATTACAAATAAACATTTATGTTTCGAGTTCATAACAATCGTAAGGGACTTGGTAAGGGATCATGTAACTAACAAATGCCTCACTCTAATAAGATATTCAGAATTTTTTTCAAAACTATCAGATTCACATTCACGATTATTTCTTTTATTAAGATTTATGTTTTATTTCTTTCAAATATTCATTGAAGTGAACGCAACTTATACTTGTATTAAACTCCTTTTCAACATTGTTGCGAAACTTCGACATTTGTAACAACATAAATTAAACGCTGAAAGGAACTTCAATAATAATAAATTTCTTACAAAAGAAATGACAAAAGGAATTCGAGAAAATAATAATTTCTGACGGCTGAAGTAAAGATGGCATGAAAGAAAGAGAAATCATTGGATTCATTTCGCTTGATGAGATTCGTACTTGGATTGATGAAATGCCTTCAAAATTTACCAAGGATATCCTTTCGAATTCGCATTTCTCTATTCTTTTCAATACGTGAATGATCGCAAACAAAAGACAAGCGAAGCTCCCTTCTCTAATTTCTTTTTATTAATTTGGGACAACATAAACTCACACAAACAAACATGAAATCATTTTGAAGAAGCATAATGGATTATAAAGTTGTAATAACTTTTGGTGAAGAGATTGGCAAATATAATAACATAAAAAGCCATTCAATAAAAGAAAAATAAAAAAATTCTTTTAATTCAGAATATCCACATTAGGAAGAAAAAAATATATTTGAATTACAATGCATTAAGGTGATTAAAAAGTCTGTTTTAATAATGTTTGAAAAAATAAATGTTGAGACGAGAAACAAATATTTTCCTTCTTCCTTTTTGACGTTTCACGTATCGTAATTTAATTCAAAGAAATGCGATTTATCAAGGATTGAAATTTCTCATTCCACACGACAGCACATTGAAGATATTCCATTGGAAATGAACACAATCGGTGAGCTTCTTATTAGGAATTATGTTTGAACAAAAGACAGCGAAAGAATTAATTCATGCGATTCCCTTCTCTTCGCTCAATTCACTCGCTATCTAAATACTTGTGATATGAATTGCCTTTCAATAGATTTGAATTACATTTACTCGCGCAGTATGATTTGATTTTTCATTTTCTCATTCTTTAATGCCAATGATTTGAAGAAGAAATACGCGAGAATAATTTATTTGTTTTCTGATTTAATATCATGATTAAAGAAGGTGACTAGAGTTTCATTAAATATCATGTTAAAGCATTTTGCTTCCCTAAAGATTTAGTCACCCCATCAACTTGTCTCACCAAAAAATGACAGTGAAGAATATTATTAGGCGTATCGCATCAAAACTTTATTTGTATTTCGCTAATCCTCGAGAGGGGAAATTCATTTTTTATTCTTCGCTTTTCTTTCCACAAAGTAAAAGTAAATTAATAATTCATTAAAAAATATTTCCTCGATTTCATTTTATTTTTTATTCTTCTCAGAATTAACTCTGGGGAATTCTTCTTGTTGTTGAAGATTTATTTGCAGCGAAAAATCATCGCGTTGTTTACTCATATGTTAGTTATTTGCTTCGTTAAATATTTGGAGGTGAAGAAGAATATTCAACCGGTTGCGATTATACCCTTATAGTCCCCAAGTAATGACGATAGTGTCTAATGGCGCAATAATTTATGCTACACATTTTCATGATAGTTTCTCTCTTCTCGCATTCTCCCCTTTTTATCATTCGCTGTTATCAAATCCTATTTTCGGCAATTAACTTTAGTCAGCACATCGGAAGGGCGAGACAGATTTCTCATCGGAAGTTGAAGACGATAACAGCGGGTGTGGGTGGAAATAAAACTTTTCGCACAAAGTGTTAATATTTGGTATGGCGAGAAAAAAATCAATTAAATAAATTGCTGCGTTAACAGATTTCGGGCTCTCACATACACAATGCTGATCCTTTTTTATTCTAGCAGCTAATGTCGACAAGATGATGAAGAAGAAGTATGAAAGTGGATATGGGACTTAATGCTATGTAGCAGCCTTCACATTAGTAGGAAAATAAATTGGCAGAATTTTATGGAAGGTAGGAAAACCGTAATAAACGTCCATAAACAACACCTCAAAGTTTAAAAATATCTTCAGGGTTTTCATTAACTATCAGGACTTAACTTTAATATTTTCATCTGAAATTGAACTAATTAAATGACAACGTTATTGTTCCGAAATAATAATTGCATAAATATCTCAAATCTTAATTCTTTGTTAATTCCTTCGAAGTTTCTTATTACTCATTTAATTCTGAAACCTTCTAGAAGATTTATAAATCAAAAATTTCCTGCTACAACAATTTGCTTTCGAAGAAAATCTTTTAATGAAAAAGTAAGAAAAGTTGATTTGTTGGTAATCGTCTTATGAATGCTTTCGTGTGTGATTACATTGAGAAGAATGACGATGGGAGTTCTTCTCTCTGTTGTTATGCCATTTTCGCTGATACTTTCTCCCATTACCGAACTCATGAATGACTTTTTACGTTTTCATAACAAGTAAATGAGAAAAGGGAAAGAAGCGCAATTCCAAAAGACCAACGTAATCGTTTTTATTTTTCCGACCAGGCACATAAAGAAAAGGAAATCATCATTGGTTCTTCTTTCACATTTAATAAACTTGTTGGACGATGTACACATGTGGAAAATATCTCGAATGTTGAAGGGAAATGTGGATTAGTTGAAGGCATTGAACATGAGAGAAAGAAATTTCCACAAAATTTCACTTCCCTATGCAATTCATTCTTTCCCTTTGAATCCCTCGAGATATTCGATGAGGGAAGTTTTTTGTTTAATTCACATTATTAAGAGTTGAGTTGAGATCAAGTTGACCATTTCATTTCATTAATTTCATCATCATCATTATAGTTGGAATAATCAGCAGTCGTTTAAAGAAACAACGAACATTAGTATTCATCAAATATCTACTTTCACTCATTGGAAATGCATCACAAATTTGCCGATTAATGAAAATGTTAAACAATTTAAACAGCTATTATCAATCATCGTCATTAACGATTTACTTTGGCAATCGTGGCACTCGAAAAAAGAGAAGAAGGAATTTTATTCTGATTTCAATTTCATTATCTAATTTTCTTTTCGACTTTCTAATGAATACTAATGGTTGTTAATGTACTCAAGTGAGTCTTGCATTCATCTTGCCAATATCTTATTTCTTTTATTGACTCGAGATGTTTAAACATCTGACAAAAGAACAAGTAAATTGTTCACTTTTTCAATCCACTTGTTAGACTTTAAAATGATTTATTTTGGGAATTTCACTGAACTCCATAATTATGCTATTTACGCAATTATGTTGTCGTTTAAGGTGAAAATATTCATGGAAATATTTACTCGCCCATTTACATAATGAGACGTTTCATAAACTATGCAGTAATCATAATTCTTGTTCTGTTTAAAGAGACATTGTAACAGTTTTCCCTAAATGTTACGATTTACAAAATTTATGAAGCGTATCCGTTTCTTTATCATGAAGTCGTGAAGTCAAATATCACCATAGACATCCATGTATGTTATCCTGAAAATGTTTACGCACGGGGGGTTCAGTAAAAGGTTGAAATGTCTAGAAATAAAGTTTGACGAGCGCGCCAAGTGCTTATGACATACATTCAACATATTTTAACAACATAAATCGCGTGTGAAAAATGACTCAATTCATGTGATTGTTGATTGTGACTGATAAATGAATGTTTGATGCTACGATTTCTAAAGAGTTAATGGAAGTGACAGAATCATGAAAAATTTCCCTAAATATCGTAAAAGTTTCTTCAACAGCAATCTTCTCAGATGCAAATTATGGCGCGGAGTGAAATCAAGGAAGCATCAAACAGTGAGCGAGATTACATGGATAAATTACGACACATGAGTAACAATGTTCCTTCCTTCTACATTTCTCATCCCTCAAGGTGTGTGAACTGCGACACATTCTATTTATTCAATGTTGCATTATTTATGCTGAATATCACTTCAAATTCTCTGATTTCTTTCCCGTGTAATCTCAGCGATGGTTTCAAAAAGTGATTTCAATTTATTTTCATTTTCATTGTGATACCGAGGGAAGTAAAGTGCGAGACGTTGCCGTGTTATCATTACGCTATGAGATTCACTCTCGAGAGTCGCGTTGAGAACAAGATAAAAGTCTGGAGGGCGCCATGGCAAAGCGTCAACATATGGCAGTCGATGCATCATCATGATTTTTTAAAAAGTAGTTTACTTGTTTGTTATCTTTTCAAGCGACAAAGAAAACATCACGCGAAGAAAATTCTTCTCAAAAATTCATAAATTCAAATGTTGGAAGGGCGGAGAAGCGAGTGAGAAATTTTCCATTTTTCTGTTTTCATCAATTTTGTATTTTTCCTGCTGTGCAAAAAATTCACTTTCGTCTCGCGAGTGCTACTGACGACTTCACGTAATACTTATTGTCGTCATGTGTGATGATTTCTCATTGCTTTCTTCTTCGAATGATTTGAATTGTTAAGAAATTTATAACTGCCGTTGTGCAATTTTCAAAAGTAATTTCTCGCGTAAATTTATCTCTCGCAAATATCGCTTCAGGCATCAACAGCGCTTTCAAATTAACACGAAACAGATTGCATTCAATGACTATTCATTTGTAAATTTGATTTTCATTTTTCACATCATTGTGAAGTTTCATTTCAAGATATGCGAAGAGAAGATTAGCAAATGATTTGATAAATATGAAATTTAATCATGTTTGCAAAATATTCCGAAGATTTGATTGAGACGCAAGTGAGTAGCGTGAAGAGTTTCAATATTGAACTTATAATTTTGCATAACAAATCGACTTTCACCCTCTTTTAAATTCTATCAAACTTTTAATAACATGTTCAATTTATCACTTTCTTGATTCAACTCGTCTCATTCGCAGATAATAATCATGCAATTTATTCTCATCAAGCGTTTAATTCTTCTTTAATCAACTCATAATAACATCAAAATGGATTCAATGTCAACTTTTTTAACTCATTTTGTTGAAGTTTATCGTCTGAAAGTGTTGGAAATGAGAGTCAAAGTCACTTATCGCTTAATACTTTATGTATGTGATCACGAGAGTTGTAAAAATATAAAAATAATCCTCACGGCAGTAAAATTTCACTCTTTCATTTTTATTTTTATTCATTTCTAGAATGACATAAGTCGGGATTGTTCTCCCGCACGGATCGCGTTGGTTGATTTAGTAACAAACCAAAGAGATTGATGAGAAATCTCACTAATGACGTGGAAAATCTAAATAATAAAGCAATTTGTTATATCTTGTGACTTATTTGATTCAGTGTTCGTCTGATCTCTTGTGGGAATTTAAAGCAGGAAAATGATAATTTGAAATTTAAATTATGGCATTCGCAACCGTATTTCATCTCCCAACCTTTAGTGGTTCACCAGTGAACGTTGATAGCTAATTTCACTGAAATAACAAATGAAAAAAATATGCGCAAAGCTCCCTTGCAGGTTCACGATGATGCTAATGCTTGATAAGAATGCGACTTACCTTTTCAACTGTCTGAAGTGACTAGCGAGAGATGAAAAAATATTTTAATAGCTAATCGCATATTTATCCAAACGAGTGCCAATTATGACTTTTGAAAATCCTCTTCAACATAAACATAAAAATTTATCGACGTTTTCCTCAAGCGTTTGTACATAATTCTCATCATTTCTTATCTCTATCACATTTCTTTACTTTTCTGCTTTTATTCAGTGCAGGAAAATTGAAAATAAATTTTCAACTTTAGTGTTTTTATTCGTAAGAGTTGGAAGAAAAATTTCATACAGCTGTCGATAGCAGGCGAGGAATCTCAGGAAACTCCCACTTGAAGACACTTTCCAACAACTATTTTGTTAATTTTCAGCAGAGCTATGAAGATTGGTTATTGAAGTCGGTTATTGTAACAAAATAATCATTTCGTGCGGCAGTCGCGTGACATATTGAGTGGTGAAACGATTTTGTTTGTGTACTTGAGGATTGTAAAAGCAAACACAAAACTGAACCCTAACTTTTGTATTTAACTTGTCGAGTTAAAATGATGAGAGACTCTTGACAAATAGCAGTTGCTCATACTAAACATGATTACAAGAAAATCAGAATGAATGCTTCGTTCCATCTTGATTAACTTTATCTATGAAAAAATTTCTTTTATTTGCACTTTCTATGATACTTCACTTTCTCCCTTTTTCCTTCACTTTTGTATCAAACTTTTTTCCTTTCTTGTACATTTTTAATTAAAACTTCAATCAAATGTGAATGATGGCGAAATGACTTACCACGAGAGAGTTGACATGATTAAAATCGGGAGATGAAAAATCCACTTGGAGAAATGCAAAATGTACGAATTCATTCAATTCTCAAGTGACAACAACCGATAAATATGAAAATGATTTTTTATTTTTGTGGCTTGTTAATGTGAAAGAAATAAATTTCGTATTACGCGTCAAGGGAGTGCGGTGGATAAAGTGAAGGAAGTTTATTGTGAAGCTGAAATACGAGACGACTGATAAACACGAATGATGAATGAATGATGAGTTTTTTTAGCGTTTCTCTGGTCATTAATATTAATCAAATGCTTTCTTTCGCTCGAAAATTCATTTTTATCAGGAATGTCTGATGATATTTGTTTTTCCTTTAAGTTATTCAAAAATTCATGAAGTCTGACGAGATCAACCCAGCTAGTTAACATTTAAAGTGTCAGAGAAGTGTCAACATTTATATTTTTATGTAAATGACCGAAGGATTCGTAAACAAATCCTTTTTTTTGTATCCATCCTTCTATATTTAGGATGAGTTATCAATGATAAACCAGAATACCCAAAACTGAGCCCTTTCTGCTTTCAGTCAGGTTAACCGGTAAAGTTAAATCTCTCTTCATCCCATCAAATGCATTTTGTAACATTAATTTAAAATCCAATTTTGAAAGTTTGCAGAGAAGGAAAAAGTTAGAAATTTATGTAATTCAAACCATGATTATTGATGATACACTCATTTGTAGCTTAAAAACATTAATCATCGCACGATAAAGTTCATCCACCTTAACTCACAAATGAACTTTATCAATTATGCACATACTTGTACGATACCCGAACAATCTATATGACAACCACACAATGAACATGAAGCAGCAGAGACGGTAAAATAGCATTATCATTTTCCCAGCAACATGAATGAATGAATGAATGAATGTATGCAGAAGTAACTCCGTGCAAACACATCAAAAATATTTTTCCATCTGTGAAAATGACAAATTACTATTGTGCTGCTTTGGTGTGTTCGTCTCGGAGTGTTTCGTGATTAAATTATATATTTAAATTGCTAGTATCAGCTAATTTATGAAGTACTATGAGCTATAATGTAATTACAGTTAAGAACGATTGAGTGACATGAAATTAGATTCAGTGCATGTCCTTGATTTTATTTACATTTATTGTTTCCTTTCTGTGGTTTAGGTGATTAAGAAGGAGAATTTGCATCGATGGAATAATATTTCAGTCTCGACTGATGCATTTGCTTTGATATTTTTCCTGTTGAATAATTAAACTAAATTCTTAGCATGCAACTGGGCTACAATTTAAATCTTAAAGTTGAATATTATTAAAAGTCCCGACGATTGTTCTTTCGACATTTTCATGATATCATGACACAATAACAAAATTCCTGAACAAAGTAAAACGAAATTTACTGCTAATTAACTTCCAAGCTCATTCACTTCCGAGAACAAGGCAAATCAAGACGACAAAGAAGAAAACATTCTCAATTTCTCGCTTGCTTTTGCCGAAAAGCGAAAGGAAGGAAAAGTACGAAATAAAACTTTTCCAATTTTGGATGTTTAGCGTAAGCAACGAAGGCGAAACAAGAAATTATTATGTCTTATGTTAGTTTATGAAAACTTTCCAACAACACCGGCTAAACATTAAACAATTTCCCTTAATTTCTTTAAACTTTTGGATTACTTGTGAACCCGTGGCAATGTTCAGATGGTGAAAGAGAAACGCTCTTTGGGATGTTATTTGTTTCTTATTTTGTCTACCTTCCTAGGCATTTCATAAACAAGTGAATAAAATTTTCTTCTAGCTCTGGAAACAACAACAAAGTTTCCTTTAATTGACGTGAACTTTAGAGAAGAAAAAATAAAATTCTTCTAATAAATGAGAATCTCATTAAGGAGGAAAAAATTATTCTGAACTTTATTAAAGTTCAATGCATCATGCACTCCCACGCAAAGGTAATCATCGTTAATAATGTGAGAAGAAAATAATAATACGAGCTGTAAAAAGAAATTGAAAACTTCACTTTTTCTATTCATAAATTCTTTCGGAAAATGAAGCAATGAGAAACACTTGTTTCAAGTCTTGTCTGAGTGCTTAGCCACATTGTAGGAAGACATTGAAAAAGAAGATACATAAAGAATTAAAACTAACGCGATAAATCTCTGGGAGTTTAAACTTTTCTTCCGAGGATAAACATAAAACATTTTCATTGCTCAGCATATATCAACTCGTTCAACATTAATCCACGAAAAGTAGAAATTGTCGAGAGCATCTTCAAGCGTCGTACAATTAAGATTTTAATTCTTTAAAGTAGTTGCAGAACAATGATAAAATGTGGATGAGGGAAAGGATGATATTAAAATTGTTTTAATATTATTTTATGAGTTTCTCTCCCAACGCAACGCTTGTTTCTTATTTACACACATCGCTCTTAAATATTAAAGGGTTCATGTTTACATAATTTATTGGTGCATACATACATCGTATCGCAACATATATTTTAATATATCGCATGGCATGAGTAAAGAGAGGTAGAGAAGATGTGGTTGAAGATATGAAGCATTCAAAGGATGAAATTAAACTTAAAATAAACGTTGATAATATAGAAATTTTAATTGAGATATTTTTCAAGTATAACTTTGATATTTGAAATATTTTTAATCATATGAATAATGAAGAATGTTCAGTGAACATCAATGAGTGACGTCCTCAACGCTTGTTTAGTGTTTACTTTCTCATCTAAAGCTATTACCGCAATGTATAAAATCCACTGCCATCCACTCCACACATGAAGCATATTCATGCTAACATTAATAACAATTCATTTTAATTTTCCTTTATTTGCATCTCCCATCATTTCATGGGCTTAAATTTGAGTAAAATATTCTTCTAGGGAAAATATTTCAAGTATTTAATCCTTTCTCTCCATTATATGAGTCAGATTCTAATGCTTGAACTTCATATGATGATATATGTTACTAACAACACTTTAGATTCCTTTGAAATGGTTTAATCCCATTATCATTAAAGTTAATGTCTTCTTCTGAGAAAATGATGAAAGTTTTCATCCAAAAATAATATCAGCAATAATTATTATTATCTATTTTAATTAATAATTTATAAGACAGAGACTAGACTTGGTCTGCGGAGTCTTTCGTTGTTTTAATTTCAAGGGAATTTTAAATAAACTTTTTGTTCATCGTTGTCGCTTCACTTTGTAATCAATAATTTAATTAAACATGGAATCGTTCACTTTTCTATTATCTTCTTTCATTTCTTTCTCCTCGATATCGATTGTATCGATCAATCATTTATTGGCAAATTGATGTTGCGAAATCATTTCTGTATCAAGAGGATTGTGAAACTGGTTTTTTGGGAGCAATCATAGCATTTGAGTAATTTTTTACTGTTTCAAATGCGATTATGATTTGTTTCGTGTCTGAGCAAATACATAATCGAAGACGATGAACTTTTCTTTTATTTATTATTTACAATGTCAATTTTCGTCATCTAACATTTGAACAAATCAAGTCCTAAAAAGAAGACTTTGAAGGAAGTTTAAAAGTAAATAAATTTTGATTATCTTTACGACATTTTAGGATATTTGAGAATTGTGTGCGTTTGAGAACGGCAATTAAAATTGTCAATTTATGTTGCTGTAAATTTGTGTTCAGTTTTATCTACATTTTGTTTTTTTACGACGACTTTTAATCGCTCTTTGATGCAAATTCGGTTTAAAGTTTTGTTCTTATTTTTCTCTTAAAAATTTCTAATGAGCTTCAGCGACTTATGTCGGTTGGATGTTAATCCTTGACGTTTATAAAACTTAAATTTCTTTTGCATGGAAGAATTAAACACAAGCCAGACGGTGAAGAAGTTAAAGGATAGAAAGGAAGAATTGAGTCATTAGATGAAATAAAGAAGATATTAAAACCGTAATTTTATGACACTTTTTTAAGCTGGCGGATGGCGTACTTTGGGTAATTATTCTGCTTTAACACCATTGATAGCGCATTTTGTAGTCTGCAAGGGAATTTTCTTTTTCCCTCTTATCATTCCAGTTACTTTCTAGTGAGTGTTAATTTGCATACATGAGCTCGTCTAACAAAAACCAAAATAATAACGACAACGACTCTGATAAGAATTTCTGCCAATAATAATGCTTAAGACAAAGAGTTGAATTCGGAAGCTTCATGCATGCTAACATTGTCGACCTTTATACTAATCAGTAGCTTTTTATGGACTTTCTTCTTTTTGGCTCTGTTCGCAATGTTCTCAACATAAATGAAAAAGATTTTGTGGCGAGAAGAAGCCAAAATAAACCGAATGAAAGAATTATGCTTTTTGATTTAATTTTATGATAGCACAAGAATATTTCATGCTTTATTACAGTCTAAAATGTCAGATATTGTAGAGCATTAAGCAAAGTGATGTGAGCCATTGAAATGGTCGCTCTTTGCATTGTTCATAGCACGTTAAAATCACTGCTTGGGGCGAGAAAATTGTTGTTACTCAAACAATCTTTTAACGCAGTTTCGGGGAGACTTTAAATGAATTCATTAAATCACTTAAGTTTTCCATAAGCCATTTATGTTTTTAAAGCTTTTAACATGAAGCATTGCACCAGAAAATTAATCATTTCAAGTACTTTCAACTCTCATCTTTTACTTTCGCGTTCTTTATTATTATTATTAAAACGGATGAGAAGGAAAATTTTTGCATTTAATAAGCTTTTCGAAAAGATAAAAAAGTTTCCTTTTTTTGTCTCGTGAAGTTGTCAAAGCAAAATATTTCTCAATTAATCCTCTGAAAGCCACAGAAAAGACATTATTCAGTGTAGACAATATTTTGCCGTTAGCTTAAAAATATTAGATCGAAAATATAATAAAATGAAATCGAGTCCTTTTATCTCTTAACCAAAAATCTCTGGTTTGATTCGAAATAAAAGATCTAAAAGATCAAAAAATGTAAAGAAAATCTACTTTAATACATCCTTTCATCATCATCGTCATCATCCACTCTTCACATGACGTATGTAGATGAAAGAAAGACCGTCATGTAAACAAATTTAATTTGTGAACTCCACTCATAGCATGCTCTGAACATTATGTTCATCGACTTCAATCCATTCTTTTGTTTATTTTGTTATTTTACTTTCAGACATCTTCTTATCGATGGAAATCTTTACTTAAATTTTCAAATGCTTGCCAGCTTATTTGTGAACTTTTCAATGTTTTAAATACTAAATATGTTTAACAAATACACATTTTGCGAAGGTTCTAAAGTGACATTAAAATTCCGTGCACTGTCGTTGACAAATAAATATTGCAAAAAACGAAGTAGCGAGAAAAGTTTTATTTCTTCCCTAGAAGTTGCATAAATTATGCGAATTTTTGTTTCTTTGCATTTTTAATCATGCTAAACTGCTTCGACAAACATGACAGAACCAGTGGCTGAAAAAAATCCGAAATTCTTTTACCCTTTAACTTCATCCATTCAATTCGATTTGCAGGAATAAAAAAATTGATTTATCGATTTGATTGCATTACACAAAATGTCAAATTCATGGAATAAATTTGCGATTGTCCGCTTTTACTTCCCCTAATATTTGCGTATCCGAATAAGCCCTAAATTGAGTCTCAGTCAATACACATATTAGCAATATTTATAGAGGTAGAAGGAACGAAATCGTATTGAATTTGTTCGTCTTTATTTATTCGCAATCGCATGAACATCTGAGAGAAATAATTTCAATTCCGGATTCGTTTGTCGTTCTTGTTAAACATTTTTTGTATTTAATGTTCAAAATGTGCCACATGTGGACATTAATTTCTCTAATGCAATACCATTTTAAATTATCTATAGAGAAATTTTCAATGTTTGGGGTATGTTTGTAGAGAATGTAACGCTCTTAAAAACGATAAAAATTTATTTATAACTCTGCACGTTTTTGACTTTTCTCTCATCATCAAATAAGGAGAAAAATTGGCTTTTCTAGGATTTACATTTGCATACATGTACGGACGGTTTCTTTTATTTTATTTGCTTTGAGATTGATGGGTTCTTTCCACCACAAGAAAACACCAACAAGATTTCACAAGAATTTACCGCACCGGTGAACATCGCATTGAGTAGCATCATCAAATGCTTCCACGATCCATTCACATTATGAATTTTTGATTTCAAGTCAGCATTTTTTCCCTTTTTCTCTGTTTTAAAACATGAAAGCTGAAAACAGATGATTTCTCTGAGGTTTGTCGAACTTTTGACTTAGAAAGCTGCTTGCTTCTTTCCTAAGTTCAGAAAGGGCGAAACATTTAGGAATTCAATAAATTTGATTGTTTGTTGTTGTTTGCATAACTCGATTCAATCCTTTTCTGTTGGCTTTCTTGTTTGAGTTAAAGTAAGTTCTGTCAGAAATATTGTTTGTAAAGTTTGAAACTTTTATATCTTTTAACAAAAAGCTTTATTCTTGTGAAAAGTTAAAGCAGCGATTCTGAATGTTTCTGGTTCCGAGACATGCGACCCAATTTTTGACTTGTTGGTGTTTCTTCTTGCAGTGGCTTTTTATGACTGTCGTAGCTGTCGTTTAAATTAAGAAGCGAGTAAAGAAGATTTGTTTTAAGTTGAGAGATAAGATTTTAAGTTAGAATGTCGAGAAGATAAATCACTTTTAAATTGATATTTAACATGAAATAAATGCATGACGATTATTTTCAATCCTTGCCTAGATGATGAAATTTCAGCTTTGATTATGGTCAACCAACAATGTCTGGGTTAACATTAAATAAAAGGAAACTTTATGAGTTACGTTAAGGAATTTTCACGACACTTTGGAAAACTTCTAATACTTTACGACACCAGAATATTCAAAGACATTTCATTCATGTCAACCCTCAATCAAGGTCAATAAACCTTTAAACAAATCGCAATCTATTCACAAACCCTTTTACATTAAAGCTTCAATTTGTGATTTAAACATTTTCAATTATTGAAAATTAGTTCTTACGCAATGATTTTGATTGCGGTCATAATTTGTTCTAAATGATGTTTTTCCTTTGAAAATAATCAAAAATACTTTGAGATTAATGAAAACTTCGATAAGATGTCTGAGTTCAAAGGAAACTTTGATGAATAGAAANAACGGCACAACCAGATTTTTTGCTATTATTTTCAGAGATGGGCAAATGTTCCGTTCAACTCGATTGACTGACTGACTGACATGTCAATGTCTGTCAGTCAGTCAGTCAGTCAGTCAGTCAAAATCGCGAACAAAAATATTCGTTTGTTGGGAAACGTTCATATAAATGATCCGCTCAAGTCGATTGACTGACTGAGTGACAAGTCAATGTCTGTCAGTCAGTCAGTCAAATCCCAACTCTGCTAAATGATGTTTTTCCTTTGAAAATAATCAAAAATACTTTGAGATTAATGAAAACTTCGATAAGATGTCTGAGTTCAAAGGAAACTTTGATGAATAGAAAATGTCTTTCAACAATAAAAGTGTTTGCGTGACTTTCAATGTTGTTTATGTGTCTCGAAAGTCGTGAAGAAATGTGTGAAAGTTTTCTCAATTTACCTCAACTTTAACCACATAAATCTCTAAGATATTTGAAGGAAAGTCAGAAGAATCCCCAAAATTATCTTGCAAACTTCCAACACTTGATATTCCAGAGCATAAACTCGAAAGGGATGGATACTTGAAACTTAAAAAATCAAATCAATCAATCACATCAATCTATCAACAATAAACAAAGCCATCAATCGAAGGCAAGACACGTTCGCACAACTCACCCCAATTCTATGAACATCAATTGGCAATCTCGAAGAATAAAGTTAGGTTGTTAAAAATTTAAAACGAATTCCGTAAAATCCTTTCTCGTTAGTGATGATAGACGCGTTTTTGCTTTCCTTTCGTCCAACAACCGAAGCAAAACTTCTACGACATGAATTTATATTTTTTGCAACTTTTTTTTTCGTATTTTGCGACACTTTGTGGACGAAGCAAAAGAAAAAAGAAACATCGATTTATAAATAAATAATAAGCTCTGATGTTTTTATTTTTCAGGAAAGCGAAAGAGTTGTCTTCGTTTTGTTTGTAGCTTGCGACGATGAAATCATCGCAAATGGCATGCACGTATCTAATTCTTTACAATTTTCATCGACAAAATAAAATTGCTGTTGTCCTTCCTTTTTTTCTCTCTCTTTCCACCATTAAATTGATGCGTCGCTTTTATACTACAAGATAAGAAGTAGAAAGCTTTAAAGGGTTGAAAACTATAAAGTGGAATGCGACACGATTCAACAATCAGACAGATGCCGTCTAAATGTTAACGAAATTCATGTTCATCCAAAAGTCACCTTTGAATAATTTATGCGAACATTTCCCTGTGTTGTCTGAATGCTTGCTTCACATCCGTAGCCCATCAGGTTGAAAGATTATTGGAGACGAAACGCATTTAAGATGAATGAAAGTGTGAGAGGAAAGAAAGGTAGAAGTGAACGCCATGTAAAGTGACAGTTCAGTGTACATGTTAAAGATGTTAAATGTTGAACGAGTCCACTTCTTCTAGTGTTAACTATTAGCACAAATAGTCTCAGTGACATCACCACACAACAATAAATAAGAATTAGCTTATACGAAGACAATGAAAAGTTGCGTAAGAAATTTATGAGTTAACTTGTTAACCTAATTATCAATAACGTCCCTTCTAATGTTTTTATTTTCTTCTTTAACTTCTTACAACGAAAGAGAAAGAGAAAAAAAGGCGAATAAATCTTACACTTCCTGTCGAGAAATCTTTTCTTCCTTCGTTTATCCGTCCAGCTACCACCATAAAGCTAATGCCGTTTATTATTTTTATCAAACACTTGCTGTTGAATCTTTATTTTAGGGGATCTAAGGGAGAAGATTAAAGAGCGACGAAACATAAATCTGTTATCTCACTGAAGGAAACTGACAACAGAATGAAACAAAAAATTCATTTCAAATTTAGTAGAGATTGCGATTAAATGCACGTCATTGTCAAATGATCCCATCAGAGTTATTTTCAGTGTCTAAATAAGTTTTAATTCCCACCGATGAAGCGATTAAGCAGAAATTCATTCCAACAAGTTGACAGTTAAAGTTTTTTACGACTTTTTTTTTTTGCTGCCACCCACACAATTTCTCAGCGAATATTTTTCCGCTGGAAATTTTCAGTCCAATGATGAGCGATGATCTCGTTTCGTGGAATGAGATCCGAAAATACCAAATAATCTTCATAATTTCTTCAACCAACGGACAAAACTTTTAATTTTTGATGAAAAATTCTTTGTGAAAGTAAAAGAAAAGTTTCCTTGAGGAAAATTTCTCCCTGAAGCGTAATTTTGCTAAGTGCAGTTTGCCGGGTAATTGACTCGAGATGGGTTTAAGCCATGGATAGTTTTCTATAATGTTGAATGTCGATGGGGTTGAGAAAGGATGTGATCCTTAAGATTCCAGCGGAGCAATTGGTTAAGGAGTGCTTCAAGATTTTATGTTTAAGTGAGCTATGAAATCATTAAGGAAATGGTACTCAAGGCGAGTATCTATCGCAGACAGCGGCACGAAATGATTGGAGCAACTCAACAATGTGCTATGATTAATTTATCAGCTTTTAAAAAGATCGTTCAACTTATCTTACTTCTGAAACTTATTTAAATTCTTTGGAAGAAAATATAAAATTCAGACGACGTTGTTATCTGCCTGAAAAGGAAAATTAATAATAAATTGAAATGTTCATAGTTCAATAAGAATTTCAAATGTTTTAGATTTTCTCAAATGAGTGCAGTCGGAACAGAAAATAAGCGGTCAAGTAAACTTTTCTCTTCTTCGAAATATCTCGAACTTATGACGGTGAAGATGAAGGACAATGACTTTGGCCGAATCATTTTAAGTTAATAAACATTTTAATTTTGTTCAAAATATCCTTCATTTCATTTTCCGAGGAAAAACTTCTCGACATATGTTCTCTGCTCAAAAATATTTTTCTTCCGGTTCAATTCACCGCTTATTAAACTTTCTGCAACCGCCTGCAACTCAACATCTTTATTCATTTCTTTTTCTTGTCGTAATATATAATTTTATGATTTATAATTTATAATTTTTTTGTCTGAAAAGTCTGCGATTTTTCTTCCATTTTCATGAAATTTAATAGAAGATTTTTTTAGTTTTTCAGATGTTTTTGTCTATGAAGACTTTTCACATAAATTTTCAACTCCCGATTTATGAAGATGGAGTTGTGTGGGAGGGAGAAACTTTTTATTCTTTCTTTTCCTTTGTCTGTGTTTTCATTTTTAATATAAATAAATTATTAATCAATTTCCACTGTTTCATTTTCCATTATTAGAAAATATGTTTCTTCAGCATTTAATTTTCCATTTCTTATCCGAATTTATTCTGTTGGCAATGAACATTCGTTTCATGATAACAAATAAAGAGAACGAGTTCTTTCTGAAGATTTTATTACATTTTAAATTAAAAAGTTTAATATTTATTGTATATATTTAAGGAAAATGAATGAAAAGACGACAGCGAATTGCAAATTCAATTGTTACTTGAGAATCTCTCTGACAGTAATGACGCCGTCTTCAACACAATTGAATAAGGATGGAAAATAAACGTTCACTGATTTCATTATTTTTATGCAAATCTTCAAGATCATTTATGCTGTGTGTGAGTGTGTAGTGTTGCACTAATACAATATAAAGTTTGTCTTATTAAATTTTTATAATCCTTAAATAGTTTCTCATCACCTCTCACTGCATCAAGTTAGTTTGTTTGTGTTTTCTTTTATTTTTTGTTTAATAAATATAAAAAGTAGCTATTTAATGAAGAAATTCTTTTCTCTCATACGAAAAACATGTATTTTTTACTATTTTTTGTCTCATTTTGTTGTACGGTAATTTCTCCATTCTTTTGTTATGTGGGTGGTTAACAAGCGATAATGGTGAGACGCGAAAGTCAACGTGATTTTGAATAAGTTGGAAAAGTTTCCATTCTGCAACTGCAAATATATTCAACATCAGCTTTATCTCAAGTCATCACCATTCGCTCTTCAAATATTTTTTTTCTTTTGCATGAAATATTGTTTATTAACGTAAGTTAAAGTTGTGAAGAATAGCAAAAAAAATGAAAACTGTTTCAGTCACGGGACATGTTTTATTTCTTGTTACTCTTGTTTAAAACTGTGCTTCATCTAAATATCAGAAAGATTATTTTTCTTTTTTTGAATTTGTAAAAAATACCTGAAGTTGTTTGTTTTGTTTTCTTAACATTTTCCTTCTTAATTCTGTTGAGAAACGTAAGAATTAATATTTTTTGTTTACAAGTTTCTTTCCTTTTGATCATCTCAAGTTGATGATTGTAATTAACTCTAAATTTCACGATTGATTTCATGTCGAATCTTGAACCTCGTTTAATTCTTTTTGTACTGCCAGAGATGTTTGTCAACAAACAACTTTCGTTTCAACTTTACGTGATTTTTTTTTGTACCTCATTCTCTGACATGAAATAATCGTTTAGATGTGAAACTTTATCAACACTTGAGTGACAGATTGATTGCAAAATTTTCTTTTTTTGTATTTATTTTTGTTACGTGGAAATTTATGATGAAGCAGAAATATTGTTTTGACATACATTTTAGTCATTTAATGTGGTTAGATTATTTACTGTAAACTTTTTTTTAAATGTTTTATATTTTTCTTTCTCTTTTTTTTCTTGTTAATTGCTTTTTTATTTTGATTCGAAAGATTTTACGTTTTGAATGGAAAAATTACTTTTTATATGTTGGAAAATCTTGAGTTAGTGTTTCATGCTATTAAATATGTGGATTATGTATGTTGAAATTGATTTTTTTAATGTGTGATTAAGAAATGAAAATGTTTTGTTTGGCGCTCGTTCATTTTGTTCGATTGTTTCGATGACATGCTCGCAAAAGAAAGAATTTTTTTAGTATACGCATTTTCCAAAGAGTAATACAAAGTTTTGTAATCAAATGTTCATTAAGAGTAATGATTAATAAAAGTAATAAGTATTTATATGTAAGTAATTAAAAAACTACAAAAGCCATGAAATTATTTTCATTTTCTGCAAATATGGATTCTCCATACACATTTTAATTAAACGCTTTTGTCTCACAAAGATTTCTTTCATTAAAGTTACATTGAGATATAAGAAGGTACAAAGTATTTCACATTTAATCAATCATAATTAAATTATTCATAAATGATGCAATTACTCATCGTTTATTAAAAAATTTGTTTGATGTCTCAAAGAGAATCTTCTACATGAAAAAACGTGATTTGTGATGTAACATAATGTGTTAAAACGAGGTAATTTTTTGTTTACTAGTTTTATGTTTAAATTTTCTCTAAATTGTTTCATGTTCCACGTGTACATGTGCGGATTTTCTCCTTTGTAGTAACACGGTAAATATTTCAAAGTAAATTCAAAAAGAAGTGGGCGCTAAAAACAGCTTTAATGAGATTAAGTTTATAAGAAGGTAGCAATGTTTATTTGTAAACGATTCTTGATGATCTTTTAATCAAACGCGCTTCAACTCGGACACGCTCACATATATTTAGACTAAAATAAAATATATTTAGTTTTAAAATATAAAAATCAAAAAAAAAACTTTTAACAAAAAATTCACTAAATAAAATTAAACTATTTATGTAAACTAAATAAATTACTTTCTCATGATATTAAATCATTTGAATGTTTCTTTCAATTCGATAATTGATTCCATTTCTAATCAAATGGAAGAATTCTCAAAAGAAACATCAAATGACTGAGAAAGTTGTCTTTATCTTTTAAAATTTCCGAAAGGTTTTAAAACTTAGTAATGATGCTTCATAATGATTCGCAAAGAGAAGGATAAGAAGAAAATTAAACGAAAAACAATTTGTACTTTCAATCAAAGAGGGATGCAATAAATGTCTATTCGTCAACTAAATAATATTCTTAAATTAAATATTCTGCACATGGAGAAAGAAAACATTTATTTAATAAGATTTTCATTTATGAGGTTAATGTGTTATGATTTTCAATTGAATTATAATTTTAATTACGATTAAAAGTAAATTATCTTAAATATATCGTGTATTAAATTTAACGTCTAATTATAATTATTTGGTGATGAAGGAAAATTGTTCGAGACAGAAGCGTTATGGGTGCGTAAATGCGACTGGTTGCTTCAATCTTTTATGGACTTTTGCAAGCCACAATGTCAATTACAGCAATGTTTTTGTTAATTTACAATTAATTTCATTTTAGTCAACGACTTTAAACGTCAAGTTTGATGGACATTTGGATCATGATTCTGTTCAATACCTTTTAACACTTGCGATTTTCGAGTGCAACTCGAATGACACTTGCAATGTCGCTCACGGGACTCCTACTGACTAACTTCTTACATTCTATGCCTAAAGGAAACGAAAATCTAGCTTTAATCTCACAGAAACGAGTTTCTTATAATTGGCGAAAGTTAGAAATAATTTCTACAAAAATACAAAGTCAATAATAATTTTGGTTGTTCTGATGTTGTTACTGGCCAAATGTTGTGATTGTAGTTTGATCTTCTACCAAATTATTATCATCGCAGACAATTCAAGTTTTTTTTTATATTTTTTTCCCTTAAATACTCTAAAGCCAAACATATCAAAAAATATTCTTAATAATTTAGACACAAATTCGTCTTCTTATTTTGAAGACAACATCGAAACACTTTTTACATGTGAAAATTTAGAAAAATACTTTTTTATAAAAGAATTTTGAAACCTTCGAAATTTCTCATCGTCTTATCAACTACAGTCACAGATACGAGTTTTTCTTTGTATTTTCATAAAAAGGAAATTTTTAAAAGAAAATTTTCTTCCTCAACTTTCTTTTCTTTGAAAATTCTTGAGGAAATAAATCAAAAGTTCGCTTTTAGCAAATGAAATAAAAGTAAAATGTTTTTGAAAAATATTTGATCACGTGAAGCATAAATTTAAAATTCAATCAAATGAACGCCTGAGGGCAGAATCAATTTGACGAACGATTGACAAAAGCCGAGAGTGAAAATAATTGTAGCAATTTTGTTATTCTTTACATTTTTAATTCCCGTTCCAAAGTAAACATCACAACGGGGTTGAAGGTTCGACGATGCCAAGGAATTCTTTTTCAAAACTTGCAGATTAAGCAAACAATAAAAAAGAAATAGAACCGCTTTAAGGCTATTTGAATTCTATTTTTGATTGCTAATGTTGGCAACCGAAACCTGGTCGCCGTTTAGAAATAAAAAAAATGCAATAAAGATTTTTTAAACTCTTTGTGATTCAAAGAAAACTAAATTAGAGTGAAATAACAAAAGACATTGCCTTGGTTCTTTGTTTACCTTTTCTTCTTCCACCTCATTTGAATTCGATTTCGGGTGAATTCTATCAAATATTTGAAAGGGATAGAAGGAAAGTTTTCTTTTGTGAATTTCATTTCAATTGAATAGAGAAATAAATTAAATATCGTGGATGTTGCCGCTAATTCTGCTTCTTATGAAACACAACACCGCGACTTTCACTTCACCCCATGGGATTCGTTTTTATTCTCCGCTCCCGGCATGTCATTCATATACATCTAATTAAGTGCATAATATTACCAATCGATAAAAATGTCTACAAAAGAATTTTTAAACGCTTTCTAAATCACCGGCTTCGAAGTTTACCCTTTCTTCTCCCTTCCCATGAAATTCGATACTTTTTTCTTACTTTTCAACCGAGGCTTGATTGCGAGTTTCTATTCAACAAACCTTGAATAGCTAAACGACTATCTAAAATATTTTTCTTCTCATTAATTTTTTGCCTCTTTACCAAAAATAGTTCGGAGAATTTATTTTAATTTTTGTTTTATTTTCGTGATCTTTGAAATTCAATTTTTTTTGTTCATCTAAAATCGTATACCAATTTCGCATAAAGCAACATAAAAATATTTTTGGTTGTGCGCTGCTTCTTGTTTTTATATTTAAATAAATTTCACTTTCCAAATGTCATCAAACTTGATGTTAAAGTCTCAAAAGAGATCTTAAACTTTCGCAGATTTGATTTTGTGTCGTTGTCGTTTTCTTTATCAAAGCGCAAAACGTCTAAGTGGAGAACACTCTGATGGAAATTAAATTTGATTGCGTTAATTGGGCGTCTTCTTAAAGCGTGAAGATGAAGTGAAAAATGAAATTTGCTCGTGAGATGCAATGAAAAAGGTGGTAATATGATTTAAGGTGAAAATGACTTTGGCGACAATGTTAAAGTGTAAGAATGACGTTGAGCTTAAAATTTCAATGATTTGAGGATGAATGAAATGAATGATGTTTAATATAAAAAAAAGTATGCCATGAAATGACTGTTGTTGTGTAATGTAAAGTGTTTTGGAAATATATCAAGTCTAATTTAATCTTCAGCATTTTTTTCTGATTTAATTTCTTAGCATCTAAGACATGAAGAACTTTTTTTTTGTTGTATATTTGAAAACTCACATTTAGTCCATTTAAGTAATGATGTCTAGTCTAAAAGGATGCAAAGAAATCTATGATCTTAGCGTAATGTTTCACAAATTCAATTTCATGTTTGTCTAAGATTAGAGAAAAAGTTTCACGTTTAATTTCTTACTTATTGAATTTTCCTAACTCAATGTTTTCTTTTGATCTAATTTTTTTTTCAAATTTGCATTTTTTTTAGTATCATATGAAAGTTTGTAAATTTTATTTACTAAGTTATCGAATGGGCTTTGAAATGTTATAACGTTAAATGCGGTTATAAGAAGAGGAAGGAAAAAAAGTTAGCTTATAGGAGTTTGTTTCTCTTTTTTTATACAATTTCTAATAACTTCTGATTATTTGCTTTTCATTATCCACGACGATCATTTTCCCATGGAAAAAAGTATTTTCTCATCACTATCTTAATGTTTTGTTATTCAATTTGTTATCAAAATAAGTCTCCTCAGTGTCAGTCCTTTAAATTGCATCATTTAGTGCTTCTCATCATTTGAGTTCGTTCACTCTTCAACGGAAATCTAATAGAGCAAAAAAGAAGTTTGCATCGCGAAAGAAGTTCAGCAAAAAAATATTTTTAAATGAGATTTAATGACAAATTCTGTGCGTCTTGAACGGTTATCTCAATGTGATAATTTCAATATGATTAACATTTAAAATTTGAAAGATCATGCGGCAGTGTCTAAAGTGTTCAATTTATTAAATTTTGAAACATTACATTGGCTAATTTAATGCTTAAAACATTCAATTACTATTGATCACATTGAAGATGTAGTGTAATTAATTTCTAATGACAACACGCGGCAGTGTAAAATTTATTGTAATTCAATTGATTATCGCGTTTGGAAATTTCGCAAATATTTTTAGTTAGACTTAATTGGAATTTATAAGGACCCTAAACAATTAATGCATGATCAGCAAATTTACAATCCACTTTCATTGTGAACAATAATAATTTTGTGGGGGGGAGGTATGGAAATCACATTGGGGTCGTTCGAAAAGCGATAATTATGGGGGCGTTCTCAATAAAGGGAAAATTCAGCAATTTTTACAATTTTTCTTCACTGAACATTTTTGTGATGGTTTTTAATTGTTTTTGCATTTTACACAATTTTTGTTTGTTATTTTTACATGATTTTTTTTTTGGTTTATTTATGTTTGAGAAACAGCAACATGCTAATAAGGGTCAAAAAGGGATTTTTGCAATTCTTCTTTAAAATATCACTTCATCGCACATTTCCAAATTCATCTAAATATTAAGCTCAAAATGATGCTGAAGGAAGAAAAGCTGTCGAAAATCATTGTAAAAATGAAAACTTTTTAGCTGAACCAGTCTTTTCAATTGTTTTCTTATTATTATTATTATAATTTTCAATCTTAATGTCGCTCAATATTGTTCAAAACCGTAACTGTTACAACAGAAGAAATAATAATTCTCAACACTCATTAAACAGCTCATAGTTCACCTCACTAATTACTTAGAAACGCTCATTCCAATTGATACTCGAAGTCTTCGACACAAAACTTGATCGAAACAAAAATGAAGTTCTTATTAATATTAGTTTTATTTCACTAACATAAACATCCAAAAATTTTGGATAATTTTTATTTGTGAAACTTTTGTTAATCATTAGAAAAAAATCTCCTTAAATTCTTTAGGTAATTCACACTAATTACTAGATAGAAGTTTTTATTCATTAATCATTCAATATTTTCCAGTTCTTATCATCTACAGCAAAAATTGTATATTTTATTTAAAAAAAGATTTCATTTTCTGTTTCTTTCTTCAAATGCAAGACTCTCTCGCGCAATTTGAGTAAATTTTACCCTCAAATTAAATTAATGTTCCATTATTGCTCACAATATATATGCTCTAGTCATTTACATTTTTTTTTCTTTCTCGGCAAAAACGAATAAAACTTAATTTCATATCGATTTGTTTTCTTTCTTTTAAAATTACGTCACTTCACTTTTTCTCTTTCTTATTATTTTTTTTTTTGCTTTTGCATCAAACACAATAATGTACACAAAAGATCGATTGGTCCACAAACCAGCAAATGTTATTTAGTGTCACGTGTTTGCTGTAACTCTGATTGGGCTTTGTTTTCTTTCTCAATTAATTACATCAACTTTTTAACCCATTCTAGGACCATATCGTCGACTTAACTTAATATGGGGAATCAAACATCAATAAAATTCATCACATGTGCTTTCCAAATAGAGAATTTTTCGTCTTCTTCTTTATCGAATTATCAAAATAAAAATAGAAAAATTTTGAAAATTAAAATTTCTTGAAAATATTTAAGCGAGAATAATTTAAAATACTCTTGGCTACATTTAATCAACATTTTTCTTTCCAATCTAATTCGTAATTATGTTTTTATGTACTTCAGGCATAAATTTCCATCTTCCTGATTCAAATCCAAAGTTAATTTCGATGTTTTTAAACATAGCCTCTGAGTGGTTCTTTTTTTTGTTTCTTATTTTGCCAATTGATATCAGATGAATTTTGCCAATTTTTTTTTGTCGTGATAATTTATGATCAAACTGAAAATAATACTCAGGCATTCCAATTTATCTCATTCACACCTTGAAATCACACGTAATGTTATATTTATGTAAAGTATCTTAATACCTAAGAACATTACTACTTAGTATGTATTCTAATTCACTAAAGGAATATTAAATGCTTGAGTACGATTATTCTCATAATTGATAAACTTGAAGATTATCGATTACCATAGAATGTTAATAAGATTGAATTAATTAAGAGGTGAAAAAGGAAACTCTTTAATCTAAGTAACACCATTTAAAAAGAAACGTAAGAAAATGTTTGTTCCATAAACATAAAATTCAAATAAAATTATCTAAAGTCATCTGCTTTGATGAAGTTCACAAATACATTTATGACAAAGTTAATTATTTAGTTTTTAAATGTTTAAATGAGGGAAGATTGATTGACTAAACTGAATGCGCGCGTAAATCAAACAGCAAAAAGTATTCAATTTAAAAGTTATTTTATTTGTTTTGTACTTGGCAAAGAAAAAACATTCGAGATGTCGTGAAGATTCGTGCGTGGGTCATAAAATCAAAGTGCAATGCAAATGTTTAAGCTTTGAAGGTTGAAACTATAAGGTCGAGCACGTCACGATCATCACGACAATATAAAAATTTATATTTTCTAAAGCATATTCATATTTCCACTAATAACCAAATTAAATCATTAAAGTGATAAAAACATAATTATTTATAGATTAACTCATTGTATCCTACCCGCGTCTTTTGCACAGGGACATCATTTGCCATTTTGCAATGAATTAATAAGAAACATTTAATATTAGCATTTATAATTCACACGATAATTATCGGAGGTGCTTTTTTTCATTCAATAAACGTGCTTTCTGTTAATGTATTCAATGTATTTCGTATTTCGCTCTTATGGTGTGTTAATTAGTATGCAAAATGAATTTTATTTGTTTTGTTAATGGTGTATACGAGCTTAAAGACTTTTTTATTTGTCTCAACCTTCTTTCTTATGTTCCTGAGATGCAAAAATTAATGTGTCTTGTATTTAAGATAATTATAATTACAATTATACGTTTGACAATCTTTCATCTAAATTTATTTTAGTTATTAAATCTTGTAAGTATTAAACATTCACAACTTTCTTGTAGGAAACGTAAAAATGTGGAGAGACAGAGGTACCTGAAGAGTAATTTAATCTAGTATCAATATATTATTATTTATGTATCAATAATGAAGCGATCTTTGCATGGATAAACTCATCATTCACAGTGTAGTTCGAAACAAAGAGAAAGCAAATGCATTTATCATTTATTACAATACAGAAATATCTTAAAGATTACGCTTATTACAAACCAAGCTGACATCTAAGATTGTTTTCAATGGAAAACATATTTTCCAGTTTATCAAATTTTCTTTACTTTCCCGAAGAAAAAATCTGTTGATGTCCTTTTATGTTTTATGTTGAAGGGTTATGTTTGGATGTTGCGTGTCAAATATTTAATCTTGAGGTATTTTGCGGTACTTAAATAAGTGATCCGTGACATGCAGTTCAAAAATTCTGTGTACAATGCTTTAAAGTCTGTTTGGTTGTCTGAATTTATTTTTATGTTCAATATTTTCCTGAATGCATTTTTAGTACTTTGTGGGTTTATCCATTTTATCTTTTTAATATTCTTTGGAGTTCATCCACAATATTTTCATTCTTTTCTTCTCCTTTCCATTTTCTTCCTGAGAAAACTTTTTGTGTTTGTTTAGAAACATTTTTACAATGAAAACAGCAAAAAAAAAGTACAAGAAGAAACATTTTCATAATTTTTTCCATGAGTTTATTAGTTTCATTTTGTGGGGGAGTAGTAAATATGAAATAGTTTTTTCTTTTTCTCTTCCTTGAGGGTAGAGAATCTATTACAGCTATAATTTACTCTTTTTCTTTTAATGACTTTGATATCGAAGGAGAAAATATTAAAAATCTTTAAAGAAAGAAATTTTTTTGACTTGCATCGCACTTTAAAAAAAATTGAATCAAACTGCATGTGAAATTGAATTTAAAGGAATTGTTAAAGTGATGGAAATCAATTCATGATTGACTTTACCATATTCAGACAAACATTTTGTTTTTCTCTACAATAGTTCAAACTGTAGAACTCTTGTTTAGTTTCTATTTTCATCGCTTTAATTAATCAAAACAGCGAAAACAAATTTTAATGAACAATAAAAGAAAAACTTTGAAAACTTCTCGCTTTGTACGCTTTTCAGTGTGAGTTCAGCTAGTAAAAAAAGGCTTTTTCCGGGAGTTGTGTGGCATGTTGGAAATGAAATTGCTTTCATTCTTGAATTTTGGATTTTATTTCATTTGTACCGTTTCTGTTCAGCTGAGCTTTTGAATTATTATTAATATTTTTTATTTCGAAAACATTGGACTGCGGAATATTTACTGAATATTTGTTGATACTAGAGCTGTTAAAAAATTCATTTGGAAGATCTTGGTTTGCTTGTTTAGGACGAAGCAATCTGTTTCACTTTTTTCATTTAGGAAAAGGAATTTTGATAAAATTAATCAAAGAAAGTTTAAATGCTACAGACACATTGAAAACGACAATAATTAATATTTTTGATTTTTCCTTTCATTATTTCATCCACCCACGCTTAAATAAATGCTTTAATATTCTTCAAGTTATTTTGACATTTAAGTCAAGATTCGAGCTTAAAATACTATAAAATCAAAAATTCTTCTGCTACTCTTACTGCATACTCACACTCACATTTAGATTATTAAATTTAAGATTTAAAGTGATAAAGATATTGTGTTATTATAGTTGTGTTGCGATTTCTATTTAATAGTTAATAATTATTATTATAGACAATTCGAAAAAATAACCTTGATTTGTACGTGTTTTCATCAGATGATCTGAGAAGTTGTTTTTTTTTTTGTTTTTTCGCCCCTCGATGATTTTTGTTTCTTTCCATTTTTACCCTGACGATTTGAGTGATTTTTGATATTTAAACGTTTATATAAAGTTATCTGTTAACAAAAATTATAAAAAGAAATCTCCTGTCACAACTTTTTTTTTGCTAGCAACAAAATGTCATTCGAGAGGCGCAATAAAAATTTAACTAATTTTCATTTGTTTTCAACAAATAATAAAAATGATAAGACTCTACTAAAAGTAAGGAGGTTGCTCGGGTTATTTTATCTCTTTGTCTCTTTAGTATAAAAAAATTATCTTTAATTAGATTAGATACTTTCATAAAGAAGAACTGTTCATAATTGTCTCTTTTAGCCATTTTTAAACACTCTTCAGTATACATTTAATTTCTTTCATAAACTTTTCACACAAATTCAAAAGTGCCTCTCATTTCAAAACTGATTCTATTTAGTTTGATCTACGTAAGTATTATGCAATATGATTTCTTCTTCTGCTTTATTAAATATACTTTTTTAAATTAATCACTCTGCAAATGCGAGAGCTTTTTTCCTGGTTTTCCTATTTAACATTATTATGACTTCATCTGTGTTAATGTAATAAACAAAATTATTTTTATTTACTTCACGCGAAGCTTAAGAGTTTCAAGACTCTCCTCAAGAGTTTTGTTCTTTTCAGACTTTTTGAGGTTGTTCTTCGTCGATCGATTGACCTTCGAATAGAACTTTATTCTTGTTATTCGAAACGCGTGATGGTTAAATATTTCTTTTCTATTATTTCTGCTCTCCATGTTTCTATTTTAAATCTATTTTTAAACTTTTTTGTATCTCAACACTCACTCAACACTCATTCAATCGACAAACAAAAGTAGAATAATGAATTCTGTGATGTTAAATGTTACTTCATTGGCATTATGAATTCGTTCATCTTGTGGCTGGTTGAAGAATATTTTCTTGTCACTGAAGCTTAATTGTTTACTTTTCCAAGAACTTTTCTGGGAATCAGGATTACTAACTTTCACTCTCCACATAAGAAAATGTTGATAAGAAAGTCTCATCATAAAAAAATGTTTTAAATTTTTTTTGGCATATTTAAATGTTTTTCCAAATATTCAATGATGCAAGAAACTTTTGTTGTAATTGACCAGGAACTTATCACTGGTTTCCTTCATTACAAATGATGATTTATTTTACTTATTTGTGTATAAAAAGTTATCACACTTTCTCTATGAGAAAGAACGAATTCTCTCAATTTATATTTTTTCTTTATCATCTTAAAAGTTAATTTATTTCTCTTAAACTTTCTATCCGTACAAAAAAATGATTTTCCATAATTTTTTTCACGCGAATACTTTTTGTTTTCGAAATATTTTTGAGCTTTTCAAACTCATCTCCGTAGAATCGTAGAAAAATCTTTTCCTAATCCTAAAACTTTTGAATTTCTTCTTCATCAAATAGTTGTGGATTGTTTTTGAATTCTTTTGTTAAATTTATTAGTGATAAGATGAATTCTCTTAATTTCTACTTAACTTCGAAACAAAAAATTGAGAATAAAATAATAAAAGAAAACTTACGTTTTGGAAAATATTATTTACATAAAGAAAACTTAATTCAGTTTTCAAATCAATTTATATTTACCGCTAGTTTGTCTACAGGGTCTAGCAGATTACAATAAAATTTAAGTAAAGAATCATTTGAGTAAAAAAATGTGTAACAATTTCCTAAAATAAGGTAAATCCATCATGATATCTTATATCATCAAACTTAATTGTTACACTGAAATGTACACGCATTATTTACATTGAAATAATTTTTATCTTCTACCTTCAAAGAAATTAAAAAAAAATATTTAAATCACAATAATGAAAGAAAAGCTTTTTTTTGTCTCAAAGATGAGGTTAATTAATATAAGATGTGTGGGTGGAGATGACAACGACACTCCATGGAAAATAAAATAATAAAAACTAATCAACAATTCAATATAAATGTAAACTTATTCTGTTTTTCCCTTTCTCGGATTTTTAAATTCTTTTAAATGATAATTAAACTAGTTGATCATGTTTAAGTAAGTAAGGAATTCATCGGAAAAGAGTTGCATGTTGCATGAGGTAGAGCCTTGTGAGAGTTGTTGTGCTCCCATCTGTTGTTGTTGGTTCGGATAACCATTACATAAACCATTTGGTGGTGCAACTCCCATGGGTTTTATAGGCGATTGAAACTTACTGTTTATCGACGGCAAATTATAATTTTGAGCTTGTAACGTGAGTGGCAAATTAGGTGGTGTTGGATGTGCCCACAGGGAACCAACTTGATCCTTCACTTTACTACTGTTAATGTTGTTGTTATTGCTGTTATTGATCGCATTGTTGTTGTTGTTGTTATTGTTTGCCATACCATTCCATACACTTCCACCAATATCTTGTGGTCTCAACAATTGTGGTTGAGATTTGTGACTGAAGCTTATAGGCGGTGGTAGTGGTGCTTCCAAAGTACCATCAGCTGTCTTTAAGATTGGTGAAGATGTCGAGGGAATGTTCCAAATCGATCCAAGTGACTCTTCATGAGCATCGTTCTTTATTGGTGAACAACCCCACAGAGAGTTGAGGTTGTTATATTGTGATGACGATAAATTTGGTGATGATTGATTTGAATTCCAGAATGAATCTTTACCATCGTTGCTGCACATACTGCCGTTTGCTGTATGCATTGATGAAGTTGAATTGGGACTATTTGATAAGTTCCACAATGATTTATCGCCCCAAATGGAACTTGTCTTGCTTGTCACGTTAGATTCTCCATTCGTCAACGACAAATAACCGGATTCATTGCTGCTTCCGATTTTTGGCGATGCCGAAGATTTTGGAGAATCCAACGTGGCCTCATGTCATGGCCACTGCTGAAATTGCTGAAGAGGTTTGTCGGTGTAACAGTAGTTCAACGGCTTAATGAAATGAGTGTCTTGCGATTGACAGTATGGACAGGTGACTGAATGACTGTAATCACTGAAGAAGTTTAAACGTTGATGTGGATGCAAAAGCAACTTGAAGCAATTGTTGCACTGTGAATTGAAATGAAGATATAAATTGTAAGAAGTTTTGTTTGTTAAATATTCGGAGCAGGAAGACTTCAACATTGACTTTAAATCTTCATAAATAAATAAATAAAAACATCATCCAATTAAGTTGCTGCTCAAGTTTTATGGAGTTTTAATATGAAAACCGAAAGATGTTTCGTTTCAACCAACCATTAAACAAGACATTTTATTTCCCAGAGCATTCCTTTATTGTCGTTGAATATTTCAGTTGGTTGAAAAGAGAAACAGTTTCTTGGATAATTCAATTTATTATCCGGTTGGGACTTGCACCCTGAACAAGGTCTACGACGAAAGGTTGAAGCGAAAACAATTGACCGCTTTAGAGCGTTTTTCTTTTCTCATTCTCTTCATCGTAACCATGCCAATTCAATTCGTAATGTGCTTTCACGAGTGGGATCATCTGAGAGACTCAACTATGTACTTCGGAAGAAGATTCTTCATAAAAAATTCATATGAAAAGCTAACAACTGAGAAAAGAGGTTTGAGTGAGCGAACGAATATGATATTCAAAAATAATTTCCATTTTTCAGTCTTTATGAGCAAATTATTCATGAAAATGGTTTTCATGTCTTGTGAAAAAGAAAGAAAGCTTTAAGAAATGTTGAATGTTAACCCGAAGATGATATTTTTATGATATAAAATCGATGTGTGTAAGAGAGAAAGAGGAAAGCTCTTGAGAGCTTTATGCTTATCTTGTTACAACTCGAAGCAACATTTTTTTGTGATGACAAGCATTCGAAGTAAGCTGATATTTTAACGAATGCTGGCCTTGTTCAACGTTCACTTACCTTTAAGCGCTCTGTGCAGCAGGGCATTGCAGCAAAGATGTCAAAGGAGTACATGGTGCCCATTAAAAGTGCCGATCCATCCCATTTCTCGGTACAGAATCTAACGATAAAAGAAAACATGAGAATGATGACAAAAATTTCTTCCGACAATGACGTGCACAAAATTTTTAGTAAGTTCAGAAAACAAAGAAAAGAAATCTTAAAAATACTCACCGACAACGGAAAATTTTTTCAGGAATGGTTCCTTCGAGACACTCCAAACAGACGGATGTCAAATAACAGCTTCGTCCTTCGAACTTCGTCTGAAATAATACGATTACAATAAATATAAAAAAGGAACGAGTTAAATAAAGCGATGTCCTGAGACAATAAAAAAAGTACACAATACTATTTTTTTAATGGTCCGTAAACGTCAGAAGCAAGTTAAGGTTGAATTAACATTTAATAAAGAACAAATCAAATCACAAGTTGATGGACATTTTTACCACAATCTTAATTTTCATATCGAAACGAAATAAAGGAATTTGTGTAAACACATTAAATTCAAACAAAGAGAAAAAGCACGCCAACGCAAAGACGATTGTGTCTGAAACGTGATTAATATGGAACAGCAGTTAAAGCGTCAGAAAAAGCTCAATTTGGATTATTACGATGTCTATTACATAGTGTGCTGTATAATGATAATTTTATATGCAAGAAACTCCATTTATGTTCATCAGCTGGTGTACAACAATGGAAAAGAGAAAGGAACACAAGTGTAGATAAGTTTGCGTTTAAGTAAATTGCTTTAATTGAATTTCGGTTTCCAAATGTTTATGGAAATTCGACGAATCGGAATACAAAGTCCGGATTATCTAAACACGAACGTGAAGTTCAATTTTGATCAAACGTTTATATTTTACGTACGTATTAACTACGTTCACGTACGTACGTTCTCAAAAGTACAATAAATAATTGACTGGCAGATTGAAGATCGAAAATATTGCAAACAATTTATTCTCGTATGAAACTTGTAGAGCAAAAAGAATCTAACATGTTTCTTTTTATTTTTCTTTGTCTACTTCAACCACAAATGTTGGAAAACCGCATTCTGAAGACTTAAGTAATCGTAAAACGGAAAGAAACGTCACAAGGAAAGCGTAACTTAAGCTTCTTGTCATGGTAAAAAATTCTTTATCATTCTACCGAACAAAACAGCGACACAACATCGTCTGACCTAAATACTTAAACGCCGGCGAGAACAAGAAAGAAAAGCTTCGAATTAAATATTAATCACAGCGCTTGTGTCATCGTCCTTATGACATTTTCATGTTCTTGAATGTTTTATCGCTCGTATAGCCAATAATCGAGGTCGGTCTTTAATACATGTGAACGCGGAGAAATGCTTTCAGTCTAGTCATTGATTCTAAAGCAGACAACAAATATTGCAGCTTGTTTTGTGTCTGTATGTTGGTTTGGACTTTATTATTAAACGGCTGCAATATAATTTATCGCTTTTTTTGGTTCATTTAAGAATTTCATATTTCTCTTTATGTTTGTTGACTTGCTTTAATTATGGCTTTCATGTTTTTGTCGTCTTTCATATGATTTATGTATAACGTTTTTTAACTCACCTCAATACATTCTTTTGAATGCTGAATTGGACTCAAAAAGAAAGTGCCGTCAACCAGCGGATATCGATCATACACCAACATCATTTCTTTGCACAAAATGCATGTCATGTGCGTCTTCTTATGAGCAGCAAGTGATGACAGAACAAACATTCTGGTATCATCATTACCGTGCTTGCCTTCGTCTTCAATCTGAAATAAGAAAAAGAATATTTTTGGAATGATTAAAAGTTTTTTTTTTTTGACATTCACGAATCGTGATAAAAAAATATTTAAATTTGTAGAATCGCAAAAGTTTTAATGAACCTGACAAAGAAGAAAAAAAGTTTTCAGTTCTCAGACAATAAGCTTCCTGATTGTTCTATTTTAATTTTATTAAGTTGCTCGAAGATGTTGTTTTTCGTGCAAAAGTATGAGAAGCATAATGCAATGAATGTCTTTGTTTTGCTTTCAAGGCTTTCAACTTCATAAATAAATGCTGGCGGTCAAGATTATCTTCGAAATTGTAGAAAAATAAAACAAAAATCTTTTCAGATTCAATTTTATGAAGGAAACTTTTCCATTTAACTTCTCAATCTGTTTAGCTTGTATCTTTAAATTCCTGTGAAAATCTCTTTTGTATCAATACTGAACGTTACATTAAATCCATTTGCTGATGACAATCACAGGAGAAAAACAGTTTTTTTTTTCGTTTCAACTCAGAACATCTGTAATGGTTGGCTATGCTTTCAGTTCGTGTTTGATATATTCTTATAAGTTAGAATCTCACATCTATTCATCCCAATGAACGAAAACAAAAAAAAAAGTTAAACAAGACATTGCAACGCGATGAAAATGAAAAGAAGAACTTTATCAACAACTTTCGACTCGCATTTCACATCCTTCTTTCGATTTAAAAGAAACTTTTTTTTTGTAGAAAAACTTTCTCGTTTCATTTCTTTTTCCCTTGAACTCGTCGAAATCGAAACATAAAGAGGGATTGTACTGCTTCAAACGAATAACTTTATGTGTCTGGATCGCTTTTCTTTCTCTTTCCTTATTCGCGTTGTTATGTGCAGGGAAGAATGACGAAAGAAAACCTTATGCTTTATAAAGTAGCGACAAAAGTTTCTCTTTTGTTTCTATTCTCGAACATATTTTATCTACTGAGACTTGAGCTTAATTTTTTTCTTCAAAGTTCTTTTTATCAACAAGGATGTCGAAGAAGTGCCCGGAGAATTCATGTGTAAATAAATAGAGAACAATAATCAAACATTATGAGATGTGGGAAGAAATTTTTCTTTTTTAATACTCTAATTAGAAAGGACTTTACTAAAATAACAACGCCTGCACGGGTATACCGAGTGTCAAAAATAAAACAACGACATTACGAACAGCAATTTTCATACTTCGTCTCGACTTGGGTAAGAAAAAAAGTAAACACTCAAAGATCCGCCGTTTAAAAGCTCCATAAAAATCAACATTAAACTTAGAAGAACGCTCGAGCACCATTGTTGCTTTCTTATTGTTTAATTAAAAGCTCAAACAATGAATAGGATTTTTATAACAATTTTAACACTCCGTTTTACCATTTTGCAGCACTTTACTTTACAGGTCGCTGCGCGTCTGCATCGGTTTATTCTTTTTTTAAAAAAAGGAACAGACGTACGTATTCATTTATAAATGTTTCCCAAGATTCAACGATAAACAAAAAATTATAAAAAAGCGAAACTACATAGATTATAATGCATGGAAAATGAGAAAAATGAAACATAAAAAGTTAAATTGCGCTAGAAAATTTGTGAAAATTTTTATAAAGTTTTGTTTTGAAAACTTTTTTTTTGTTACTTTTTATCGTTGATGAGTGTCATTGCACTATTCCAAATAAGTATTATGATGAGTTGCAAGTTATTCGATATTAGTTAGTGTAACTATTCTCATTTCCTTACTAATCTCACGTTTGTGTCGATAAACTTTTATCGGTTTAATGGAATTCCTGTCTAGTCATAACTGTAACCTGTAGAAGCTTAGCTAATTTCATTATCCCAATTGTTACCAATGCTATAATATATATCTTTACATGATTTAGCAATGCTTTTTGATTGCTGTTGTAATCTACTTGAAATACATTGCAAACCCCAAAGCTTTTGATGCTTATTCTTTTTAATACACCGCTTTCCGCTCTGATTACATTCTGATAAAGATTTGTATCAGGTTTGGTTATTTTCATTTCATTTTATTTTATTTTGCTCGCTCAGAACCCACTTGAAGTGGTAGAACAGTAAAGTACAAAAGACGAGTTTTAATGCGAAACAGATTTTTATGGCAGCAACAGCAACAGCAGTGGAGTGAAAGCTCAAGAATATCGTGCAACATTGGAACATAATCTTTCACAACTGGCATTGTGGATTGCTTTTTAAGCTCATGAACATTTTCCTTTCTTCTTCTTCTTTTATCTCTCGCAGCTTTCGAATGAAAAAGTAATAACATTAACTTTTACGGGTTACTGATAGTTGAGGATGCTTTTACGATGCAATTCGTTTCGTTTCCTTTTTATTGACACTGAATTATAATTGTATTTGATTTTCATTCTCTCCTTGTGCTTACATCTAATAAGCTTCTTCTTATGCGTTATCATTGCATGTGGTCTTGACAAAGGAAATTGAAATTCAGAGTTTTATTAAATGAATTTCAAATGGCATTCACTAACTTACGTACAACCCCCCAAAACTTTGATCTGATTCTTTTCTCCATTTATGAGAAGTTTTATTTCATTTTTTCGACACTTTAATGTTACTCATTCTCTATGTTCTAAGTCCCATTTGTGCAACGAAATAAATCTTCAACAGTGATTTTCATCTCGAGCGTTTTCAGCATAAAGAATAAAAAAAAGAACTCAAGCTGAGAAACATTTTCTTCCGATTCAACCTGAAAACGATTCCAACTTCATTTCACCCACGCTTTATATCAAGGTTCGTTTGCCTTCTTGTTCGGAAAAGAATTCTCAATTTAATGAAAATTCTTTTCTCGACTCAGCAAAAGCTCAAGCACAATAGATTAGCGGAAAAATGTGTAGTTTCATTTATTCACGTTTATTTACGTAAAATAAGAGAAGTTTTTCTTATTCTTATTACATTTCGAATGTTTTCCAAAGCAAAAAAAAGTTCGAATGAACAAACAACAGAAATAAAAAAAAGAAAAAAAGAAAAAACGAGAATGAAAAGCTGCTTTTCCTCATCAATGAGATTGCCGTCTGGAGATGGCTTTTTGGGTGAAGATGATTCTTGTGGATTTTAATTAAATTCATCTTCCATGTGTGCACACCACATATCATGTTGGCTGCTGTCGTATTTCATATTTTACCGTGGAGAAGGAGAACAATTCTCTTCTGGTATTTTTTAATAAAGAATGAGGGAAAATCATGTCGAGAAAAATCATAAAAAATAATTACAGAATCGAGGAAAATATGTTTTTCTCTTCTTGTCCAACCCCCACGGTACACCACTAACGATATTAAATACTGTTCTGTTCCGTTGCAATCAAATATTTATGATATCAATTACCGGACATTTTTGCCATTATTAAAGTGATTCTTCTTTCTCTCAAGAACTGACTGTCAGACGCTTCTTTCCCTCTTTAATTAGGTGTAATGGAAAGTGACATTATGGAATTTACGATACTTAGTTTATTTATTTGCTATTTAATTGGATATTACAGGAAAGCATACGAGATAGTTTGCTATTAAACAACAAGTCAGAAGAATTTTTTACTCCTCGATTTTCACAGTGTGTGGGATGAAGTGAAATTTATAAGTAACAAATTGTGCACTTAAGACTTGTGATAATTGATGTGAAGATGGAGAAAATGATTAATAACTAACACAATTTGTTATATTTTAATGACAGAACCTTTCTGGAAACTTTAAGGCATTAAAGTTTTTTAGTTATAACAAATTGATTGGAATTAATAGAAGTTACGTCAACAAGAGATTTTCTTCTTACTTGAAAGACAAAATCTATTCATCGAACCTCAAAGAAAATCTAAGAATAGAAAGTAAAAACCATAAGCGGATAATTAATTGAAAACTTGAACTTTTGCTTGAAAGAATCTCATCAGTTAAAGTTTTTTTATGTTCTTCTTTTTTTTCTTACTTCGAAAGCAAGCAAACAAACAGAAACTCATTTCAAACCCAACCTAATCGATTCGTTTTCAGCACGAATATGTATGTGAGGAAAAGCATATTTGCATTACAAAATCCATTAAGGATAATGTTTAAGTGGAAGGTGAGGTAGACGATGCGCTGGTGAATTTAACATTCGATGATCATTCAAAATTAATTATGTTGTTGTCGAGTCACATCAGCGATAACATTGAAAGTTGGAGCGTTGAACTCATCAAGAATAAATTTCTAATCTCATTAATTTATTCTCTTAAACAAAAAATGAGAAGAAAATAAAAATAAAGCTGAATTGTGTGATATGAGATTCGAAGCCTTATTCTCGTCAACGAGTGACATAATTTACAAAGACACCCAACTCAGACAAGATGTCTTCATCGCGTAATAAAACGAAAATAAACTTCATGAGAGTAATTGAGATAAATTGCGTGATTCATCCAACACACGATGCTGGTTGTTCGGATTAGAAAGGAAATAATTATGACAAGGCGAAACTGAAGCCATCAAACACAATTCATTGATATCTGTTCACGCTAATCAACTTTGAGCAATCTTTCGCTTCGAATGTAGAAGAATACAAAAAATGAAATCCCCGAGACGAAATGTTGAATCATCCGGAAGGATTCCAAGGATTATTTTCTTAATGTCAATCAACTTCAATTGATGAAATTCTTTCTCTTGCGGTTTTCCTTCTCTTCCTTGCGGATGAATTTTGTCATAATGTTTCGATCTAATTGAATGATTTTCTTCTCTCTATATCCAAATTAATTTATTTTTCTTGCTGTAATATTTCAACAAAAAATTGAATCCACAAATCGGCTTTGTTGTCGTCGATGTTGAAGTGGAAATGTCATGCACATTTGACCGATAATCACAATTGATTCGTCCATCTAATAATCATATCACTTAATTAAATCTTATGTTGCTTTTACATCATTCAAATGTCAATGAATCAGTCCGCGTGCCAAAATTTATCGATTAATCAACCCTCTGTCAATACAGTTCAGTTAACTTATTCTCATCTTTCGTCGCCCCTTCCATTGATGGATAAAAAAAGGAATTCTTCTCTATATCAGTTTCGATTGTACGTACGTGAAAATATTCTTGAAACTAATCCGAAAGCAAAACGGAAGCAACGTGATTGCTTCATTCATTTAATTAGATTCCACACAAAATATCTTTCCTGTTTGTTTTCATTTCTCTTACTCCCTTTGTCTCTCTTCAATCGACTACTGTAACTGAGGTGAAACAAATTTTCAGCATTAAAATAAATCCCAGACATAGCAAAACGTACAAAAGAGTTTCAACCAAAAATGAAACGAAAGATTTTGTTTTTATTTCTGGTAAAAAAGGGATTTGATTTCATAAAATAACGACACCAAATTATTTCTCTGCTCAATGTGTTCACTGTTCACTCTCATGTTATTGCCAGAAATGGAGAGAATTGCAGAGATTTTTCCTTTTCGACTGTACTTAATGATTTATTTGTTGTTTTGTTTCTAATGCTATTGAAACAGAATTCTTCCATCGACTATTGTGTTTGTATAAATATTCGAGTCGGTGCCTTCGACCCACGTAGATAACACTTTTTCACTCTTAAATCTCCTTCTCAACATCGGATAACAGAGCTAGTGAAACCCACGAAATAAGACTGGCAGTTGAAGCTTAATAAAAGAAAGAAAAATGTTCATCATTGTGGCAAACCGATTCACATTTGTACATTCAGATTTCCCACTAAATGAAAACGATTTTCATTACTTTCAGATGCGACTTGTTCAGCTGTCGGTTAAAGCTCGACTTTAGCACGCTTTACTTTAATAAAAGTGAATTCTTCATCGCAAATTGGAAGACATTTAATCAAATATTTAGAAGGCAAAAATTTTCCCAAGGAAAATCTTCAGAAACGCTCTGCTCAGTGATTTAATTTCCTCTTAAACTAATTTCCTCTTTTCTTATGCCTTCGAAGACACCCAGCAACATTCAAAGATCATAAATTCGAAGCCTGCTTTAAATAAATGACAAGAAGAAACCCAAAACATTTTCATTATCTCGGGCGGCTTTAAAGAGGCAATAACAATATTTTTCCGTGTCTGAAGCGCTTTTCTTTTCTTTTTTACTTTAATTTTCAACCATCATTTTCACACAGAACAAATATCGATCCGGAAAATAAAGTGAGCGAGCGCACAACATCGAGAATTTCTGGTTTTTCAGTGTCGAGGCCTATGCCAAGGGTACAAGTGTTATATACGCTGACAATCATCCCCCATCATTCACCACTCACCCACCACCCGCTTATGTAGTCGTGAACATTTACCGAGTTGACTTGAAAATGCTTTTTGCAAAACGTTCGGAGTTTCTCGTACAATACGAGCATGGAAAAATGAGGGAAAGAGAAACAGGAAGAAAATGTTGAGTGCCGCAAAAGCCTATCTAAAAATACACGTTCAGAAAAAAAAAAACTTTTGGGGAGGTGATATTGGGCGACTGTCTGACTCTTTCTCCAGTTCCTGAAACGTAAAACTGCAGAAAATTCTGATTCACCAACACAAACATTTACAAGAGGAATTCAATGTTAAGTGGGGAAATTTTGTGGAGTTGCGTAGTGGAAAATTCTTTGCTTCACTTTCACTCTTCGTGCTTTCGACTTCTCCTGATTTTAAGTTTCGGCTTTCCTTTTCTTCCCGATGCTTTTCGGTACTAACACAAGCATCGATGAAACATCGAAAACACCGACGGAAGCACTTGGAAAATCGTCTTAAAAGTCAATGGCTTTTTATCGATTCCGCATTTTCCAAGTGTGCAAATATTCCCGGAAAACCATTCACGCGGATGCAATCACAAAAAATCTTAGAAAAGCTTTTCGTTCCTGAAATGCAAATGAAAAATTATAAGAAAAAAAACTTTCTCAATGACAAATGTGGAAAGTTTAAAATTCTCGATAGTTATGAAAAATGAAAGCGGCAGAAAAAAGTTTAATGCAATGAGAAAAGTGCTTTTCAATCTGTTAAACGTTGAAACCCGGCGGGATATTTTTTATTCATGCTTTTCGGAGATTTGAAACTTTCATGACGTGAAGAAGTTGCTTTAGGTAACAAGGGATCTAAAGAGCTTTCTATTTAATTCTAATAAATTTCACCTCCATGAAATGCGAGGATTCAGCAAAAACGATTTTAATTCCGAAGCCATTATTTCACCCTTCAAAGATCTAAACTGCAATCATGTTGCTTAGCACTTCGTATAACATTGTCGAGGGTTCAGAAACAATTTTTTTTAAAACATGGCGTTTCAGATTAAAATGAAATTTCCTTTTTCGGCCATTATGTCAAAAACTTTGCAAAAAGAATTTAATTCAATATTTTGTTGTTCTCTCATGGTCATCATTGAATGTCAAACGTAACATCCGCTAAACTTGCGACTAATTGTTTGCACGACAAAAATAATAATTCAATTAATTCAACTTTTTTTTGATTACGTGAACAGCAATAATGACGAGAAGTTTGTTCGTGGGGGTGGAAAATTGGAGACATTTAAAATAATTCAAATAATTGATTGTGTATTAAAGCAATTAAAATTAACATTTTGTTGAGTAAAAACGAGAACTGTGCAGCCATTAATAGCAGGGCAAAATTATTGTTCAATTTCACATATCCCAAAATTAGCAAATTTTTCATGACATTTTATTGCAAATGGCAACAGAGTGACGGATCGCTTTTATTCATTTATTCATTCACATGTTTCATATGCTCCCAGGAGTTTCAAGAGTTTCGTTTTGTGTGTGTTTGTTAATGCAAGTGTGTGCTTATGTCATGCACATTATAACAAAAAATGAATAAAAGATTATTTATCCGCTGTTTTTGCTCATTTTTCTTCATTCTGGTGCCACTTGATCACTTTGGATTTGTCTTTCATAAGCACACATGGTGATGTCGCTTACTCCACTTGACATTATTCTTCTTTGTTACTAACAGAGAATTCAAGATGCTTCTTGGACATCCAAAAGAAGAAAAAGATTGAGTGGCAATTAAATTTTAAAACAAAAACTGTCAAAAACATTTATTCAGATACTTGAAGTTTGAAAGCCATTAAATAAATCGAAACGAGATAATTAAAACTTTTGTTATCGTTTTCCCAAAATCATGAGAAATATGCGTCAATTTTATACCAAAAATTTTCATTTTATGTCTCGCAGAGTTTTCAACATTGTCAGCAGTAAAAGGAAAATTAAACTCTCTCTCTGACTTATAATACTTATTGAAGTGCTTTACAAAACAAAAACCTTCATCATAAGCTATGCCACACATGAATCAAACATAAAATTTAAACAGGAAAAAAAAAGCAGAAAACGATGAATTATCGTCTTGAGAGTTGCAAGGAACGTATTTGGTTGTGAACTCTTCTTCTCTGTCTGAAATTTCTCTCTCTGTACTTAAGAAACTGCACTTCAACGGTTCATAAAACTGCTTGACTTTTATTTCACTTCACGGAAAAATTATTCAAGAAAGAACAGAGAGGAGTCGTAAAAAAATGTTTATTTGCAAATGATTTTTGATGTTCGTGAAGAGTAGAAAAATTTAATTTGTTTATGAGCGTAAACAAAAGATGAAAACGACGGGATGAACAATTGTAATCATAAACTTTCTGACACGAACTGAAGTTCGTCTACTACCGATGGTTTCAAAGTCATAATTTCTCTCTGTCACCTCATTTTTGTCATTTTCTTATGTGTCAAAATCCATAAAAACGATGAGATGAACGCGATATCTTGCAGTGCACCTGATATGCTCTTCCAGATAAACTTGAAAAGACTTAACAGTGAGAAAAAGTATTGTCTCGATATGAAAAGTATATTTGAGTGAATGTAGTCAAGATCACAAGCATTTTCGTCTCGAGATCACATCGACTTTCCCTGTCAAAAGTTGCTGCTGCTTTCAATTTAAATATGCATTCATGAGCTTCAAAAATAGCATTTTTTTTGTGCAAAAACAGCAAATTTCCTGCTTTAAACAAGGTCACTGAACTCGAACAGATTTTCACCGAAAATAGTTTTTTTATATTCCAATTTAAATTTAGATTCATAAAATGAGATCGCTATCATTTTTGCCCTCAATGCAAATGTCATAAAGTAACATCAAAAGTTTCCTAACTGCAATTGCTTCCATTTGATAATATTGTTCAAATAGGACAACCCAGAAACTGACCAATAATTGGATCGTTTGAGTCTCAAATACTGCCAGTAAAAATTTTCTGCAAAATTTCCACGAACAAAAGGGGCGAGAAAACTGAAAGTGAATTGAAAATGGTTGTTTGAGTGACATGGAATGTCGTAAACTTTACCGTCTGCATAGCAAAAGTTTTATTAACTTTTTTTTTGTGTACTTTATTAGCATTTATTTTGCCACCCAAAATATTTCTATTTAATTCGGTTTTTTCTCAACATATCTGACGCAGAGAAAACGTCAGCAAAACAAACAGCAAGGAAAACGTCAGGAAATCATTGAAAACTTAAAACTTTCTGATGTGCAAAATGTCATGAAGTTTTTATTTGCATGAAACGACAAAACTTTTTTTCTCTTCTTTGTTTGTTCAAATTTGATTAAAGTTTTGTTCGTGAAAATTTTCAAAAAATTTGTTTTCGCTACGTCAAAGCTTTCATGTCAATATTTCGTTAAGAAACTTCTCACGAACTTTAATGGATTCTTTGGAAATATTGCTGATGGAACACATCATTAGCTCGCTTACATATCTACTTATCCACCCACGCATATTTAAACTCGAGCCATAAAAGATTCAACCGCGTGCATCTAACGATGTGTTTGAAAAATGGCCAAACTTCGTGATTGCAGATGGTTTATAATTAAGTTTCCATTCACTGCTATTATGTCGTTTCCTGTAATCTTCATTCAACCATCACACAGCATACACGCATTTATTTACTTGCCGAAAAATGTTCATGCTACGATAAATAAACATAAAATGGCCGAATAGAGAGAAATGAAATAAATTAAAATTTACGGCTGCAATGCAAAGCAAGGAAAAGTTGATCTGTTGTGATTGTCATGACAACGAAAACATTTTTACTTCTCTCATATTCATGATGACGATAGAAAATTATAAAGCATGAATCTTTGAGAGAAATTGACAATCGCAAATCTAAGAGTCGAGTACAATTGGAATGAAGCGTTGCATAAAATGCTAAAACCAGTTTTCTGTAGATAAATAAAGAAAAAAAGGTTCAGATAAGGGTTATGAAAACTCATAATATTTCCATCAACGCCAACGTCAGGTCTTGTTGAATTGTGAAATACTTATGTGACATTCACTTGGCATTTAATTATCAACATTGCCAGATAGTAAATAAAACGACGATGACGAGCTTTACTTTACTTCATTTGAAGTTTTTTTTTTTCATCTCTCCTTGTTTGATTAAAAAGTCATCGTTGTAAATTATGATGATTTCTTATAAGAATTTATTTAAATAATTGAAGATTAATAAAATATGACTTTGAAAAGTAATCGCAAATTATTTACGTATGAAAATAAAAATCATATAAATTGTGGGCGACATTTTACTGAGATTGAATCTACAGCGATTAGAGTGTCGTAATTTTTTCTTCTACTCTTATTCTTTATAAGGAATGAACTAATCACAATTCGTTTTGACGTAAGAAAAGTATAAATAGAAGCAGAAGCTTCTGTCATTCTACTATCGCTTCAATACAATAATAATTAATGGAAATTTCATGCCTTTTGTTTTCGGTTGAGAAGTTTATGTTTGTTGGTTGTTTAAAGATTTTATGATGATACATACGACACTCAAAAATCATTCAATTTTTAAAGTTCATAAATTAATTTTTATTCTTACCATAAATTATAAAGAAACAAGCAAGGCCTGAAATTAAAGTCGCTTTGAAACCGTTTTAAGAAAGCAATAAAAAGAATGAATGATCTCAGAAGCAAATATCACTTTCGTTTTCTATTCACAACTTCAAATATTCCTTAAACTTCATTTTCGTACAATTTCTGGATGATTCCATTCCCTTTTTAAAGAAGGAAAAAATGAGATGCGTACAAGGCAACAACAACAACTCCACCCTTAAAAGGGAAGAATGAAAAGAAAAAGAGGGAAGAATTCTGAGCATCGTTGACAGTGTTAGTAAAGAATTTTTCGGGATTCTGTTTTATGCTTATGCGTACACACGCAGCATAACTTTGGTGTTGATTTTCAACTTGAAGCATCTCCAAATATCGAACACAACTGTAACGATTACGTATTTGAAGAGGGAAGAAGGGAGAAATGAAGAATTATGTTTCAGGGCCATTGGTGTACTCTTCTCGTTCACATCCAGGATTTGCCCGTTTTCTCTTCCTGTTTTACTGTGTCATCTACAAAACACATTTTGGGGGAATTTTCTATCGTAAACCACGCCTGTCGAGTTTATTTCTTTGAATCTAGGCTTTTGCTATGCTCTACAAATCTACTTTTTTTATATTTCTTTTCTGTTCTTTCACATTACAATTTTTGTTTAATATTTCCAGAAAGGGGGAATAAATGGACATGTTCGAGGACATCATCTGCTTGACAACAGCACACCATAAAATTGTAAGAAAAAGATTTAAAATGAAACGCATTTATTTCACCTGAATGAAAACTGAAAAAGTTTATGTTTGTCGTAAAAACTTAATGCGTAAAATGGCAGGAAAAAAGACGCGCAAAAAAAAATGGAATGGTGAATGAGTCATTGTTGAAGAATCTTTTTTTATATCAAATTAATTGTTTTAAAGAGAAATATATTCTTTTGTTTCTTTTAATGACATTAAGTCAGAGAACGCTCGCAGCATTATCAATTAATTTGTAGCATCGTAAAGTTTATGCTTCGCTTCTGATAAAACAAAATTCTGGCATGACAAACTTTTACTTTGAACGATTTCAACTCTCACAGACATTGATTCGGGAAGGTTATGAGAAACCCGAGAAATAATTTGCATAGTTTCCATTAAAAGCTTGTTTTTCTTTGTGATTCTTCTTGCATTTTGTGAAAAAAAGCATAAAACACAAGCCACAGTGGTTTTCCATTGTTATTGTTATCTTCTTCTCGTTCATTCTGCATCGCCATAACTTTTCTCGCTTCATCCCCATAAAAAGGAGTTGTTCGTGCTGCTTAAATATTATTCTATTCGGTTATTAAGACGTTTAAGTTTTAATGTATGCAAGTGGTGGCTTCGATACATGTTTGGAAGAAATAAATGTTAGAAACCGGCTGATCATATCTCTGGGACGAAAATATTTACAATAAAGTAATCTGAAAGCTTCACTTGACTTTCCAGTTCATTTCCAAACTTATACACAACCTTTCTCTATAGAGAACTATAAACAATCCTAAATGAACAACAAAATTTTGTTAAGCATTAATTTAAGAGAAAAGCGAAGAAAAAGAATTTTATTTATGAACGAAAATCTCTTTCGAGTGTTTTCCATCCCGCTTCTGAGATGTTTTGACATATTTAGGAGCTTTGTTATCAATATGAGAAATCGTGATAAAGCACATTCCAATGCTTTTATTATGGTGTTCTTGTGTTTGCTTTAAGTTGAGATCAAAGTACTAAGTTTTTCTCTTCTGAACATAGAATGAAAACAAAAATTGTTTTTGATCAAAAGTTCATTGATTTCAAAAAGATGCAACTCAAGCAATCAATTTGCGAAATGGTTAATTAATCAAAAACATAAACCACTGTGATGAAATCATGAAAGTTAGTACCTAAATCGTTCAGACTCGCTTCAATGAATACGAAAATTTCTTCCGAATTCAAAGACACTGGGAAAATATTAATTTTCTTTTATCTGGCCAATAATGAAAACACTGCACGTTGATGGATAAAATATAGTTTTATAAATTTATTAAACTTGATGACAGTCAATTTTCTTTGATAGGAGTTCAAACTGAGAAATTCTTTTGCCTTGTTATCGTTCGATTGATTCGTTATGTCCGCACAAACGATGACAAGGAAAAACTTTCATTGCATGAGCGCTGATCAAAATGTTCCGCTTTAGGAGAAGCGTTTTCGTCGCTTTTCACTCTCACACGACACCAGACAAGACCCTAAAACTTGTCATTAAAATACGTGACCATATTTTCTATTTACTTTCATGAAGCGTTTTCTCTTTTTCCAGCTCGCTGAAATTGGAGATTATAGCAGAAGGAAATTTCCTTCAGGACAGAGTTGAGAGACAATTTATGTCGTCATAAAATAGGTAGAGACACTCGACTTGGCGAAGGTTCTTGTCTCTTCTTGTAAGAAATAAAAAATATAGAAATTATCTATTTATAAAAATTTATGTTGAATAATTTATTGTCTTCGTAAGAAGTTCTTCCTTTAATCGTAAAGTTACATTCACCCTTAAAATTTTCTTGTTGGACAGAAACAACAGTTGGAGCTTTTTCTCAGCTTTCATAAGTTTTTGAAAAATTTCGACGAATAAGCAATTGAATTATAATTGTTGAAAATCTCTTTTTGAATAAGAATATTTATTAAGCAAACTCGACGAGCAGAATTAGAAACTTGAAGCACTTTCAATTGTAAATATTTAATCTATAAATATTCTTCATTGTTCGCTGCTTTTGTTATTGTAATTCCAGCATACAAAGTGTGGGTGAAATTTAAACTTCCAAGTGTATCTTTATGATCAAAATATATTCGTAAATCAGATTATTTAGTCTCCGTGATAAAAGAAAATCACCAAATGAAATAAAAACATTCAACAGAGCGATAAAGAATCAACAGAGCTTTTATTCATTGTTTACGAGTTTATGAATAATCATGAGGAAAAGTTCTACCGAATGGAAAGTTATTTTTAATTCTTTTCCGTGTTTTCCTTTTCATGACTACCAGCCTAAATTTTTTTTATGTGTTTTCGGCAATGACAAAATTCAAGAGAGAGAGAAATGAAAAACCTTAAGGGAGAAAAATCCGAGAGCTTTTCTAACATCAAATCCGACACTAACACAAAGTCATCACCGTCACCCACCTAATCAGATTTTTGGGCCTACAAAAATTTCCTTTCAATCCCCAAAACACCCATTAACCTTGCCCTTGAGCCGACAGACTTTTCCTTTACGAAAATACTCACACACACACAAACAGTAAATTTTCTTCTTCTTTTTTATGCGTGGAAAATATTCAGCATTGATTGTGTTTGTGTCGGCGCAGACATGCTTTCATTTCAATGTCAAAAAGCCGACATGAAAAAGCCTGAATCTTCTTTCTGTTATCAAGGTATCATCGACCTTAACGTTTGCAATTCTCGTTATTTTTATTTCATTCATTACCAGGTTGATTTTAGCACTCGCCGTTTTATTTCCTTTAAATGGTTTTAGACGGAACATTTCATCACCATACGAAGAAGACGATATGGCAATTTAAGAATGAAATTAATGACGAAAGCTACGAGCTTTATTACTACAGCAAAAAAAAATGTAATGAAGGAAAATCGAAAAGGATTTCCCATTAACATAAAACAGAGAGGAAAAGACAGAAAAAAACTGCATAATAAAAGTCATAAACTAAAGCTTTATGATCAAAGCATTTAATGGTAATTGAATCTGAAAAAGATATTATAGAATCGCATTCTCCGACACTCGTTTTACTGCTGCTGTTGCCATTTCAGTTTATTCATCCTTGGCGGTGGCTGATGGCTGAAAGCAATGCCAGAGTTTCCCCTTTATGGAAATTATCCCGTGATGGAAAATGAAAGTTTCATTTTTCTTAGTTAATGGAAAACAATACTAAAGAAAGTAACGAAACTTGGCGACAGTTTTCATTGGCAATTTGATAAGCAATTTCTTTATCATTTTTCTTACATACAATCGCTGCCTCTAACGTCAACCTCAACAGATGAAAGCAAGGATTGTGTGAATAATAAAAATCTAATTTTCATCAAAACTAATAAAATAATCTCGTGAAACGTGACTCTTTTCATCTTATCACTCATTCTCGGTATCGTTTTGCGGTGAAGTCGAAAGAAAGAAAAAGTAGCTTGAAGACAATATCGGAGAAAGTTTTCCCATTTTCCTTGCCTTTTTCCTTGGAAGATAAAAAGAATATGAATGGATATTGCCATATGCATGGGAAATTAGGAATGAGTAGGAGATGTGTGTAGAAAACCTTAAATGAATGGTGAATCCCATTAAATATTTATAACGCCCTAAGAAATGACAGAACCCATTTCTGTATGTTTTACCATCGACCTGGAAAAAATGAAACGTAGGAGGAAAAACACTCTCATAGGAAATCGAAGATGTTTCGACATTGAACGAGAATAAAAATAAAAATGAATTCTTCTATAAACTTTGAAATTTCATTAAGTTTCATCCTCGATCATTTTGCATAAGCTCACTCGTCCAACCCAAACCGTTTTCAAAGTCAACGAGGTTCACTACGAAACGATTCAATTTAATATGCAATTTTCAAAGCCACCCACACATCTTCTCAGGGGCGAAAAAAAAAAGTGCTGTGAAAGTTTTTACTGCTTTTATAGTTTCATAAAGATCATCTTTACACATCAATACAATGAGTCTTTTATGTTGCTTCGGATGGGTTCTCATGGATGACGATGGTTGCAGTTTTGCGTCGTAAAATTAAGCTCAAAGGTCATAACTTTCCATTCACTCTTAGATAAGTAAACAGAGAAGGAAACTAGCAGAATGATAATATCGTAAAACTTTTGTTAAGAAAGATTCTTCTTTCACTCTCAGATCTTGATCACGATGCAGTTTAACGTTCCAACAACCACCTAAAATTTATTAATTACTTTAGTCATTAACAAGGGAAAGTTACTCTTAATCACCAAGAAATTTCCACTTCTCATCCACCTTAAATAATCAATTACAAAAGCTTTTCACCATCTCAAAGAAATATTGTTGGAGTTGGTGGACGAAACAAATTATAACCGATACTAATTGTAGTGACACGTATGGAATTTATCGAATTTTATGTAATTACATTTCTTTCGAAACATTTCCATCTGATGTGTGATTACTTGTTCGTCGCTTAACTTTTCTATTAATGTGGGTAGGTGAAAGAAACGATAAAATTACGGATTATAATTTCCTGAGAAAAACATTGATAACAACCACCCTTGATTCGATTTTCAAACTCCAAACATTCTTATAATAAATTAATTAATGGTCATGAGACTTTTACCGTAGCAAAAGCTGTGAAAAATCACCAGACTAAAGAAAAGCGTTTACAAAGCAGCGGTTATAGGGAAATATTTTCTCAAAAGCGGATCGCGAAAATTGCTTTCATAAGCCACAAATATTTTTAATTAAAATTAAATACGAGCTGCAATAAGTGTAATTAAAAATAATAATAAATTTCCAATAGCATGCAAGATTGTCCCAAAGGGAATTCTTTGGAAATTTCTCAACGGAACGATGAACGTCTAAGAATTTTTTTTAGCTCATGTTACAGTAGCTGTGATCACAAAATTTCGTCAATGGTCTTTTATGGCATTTTCCTTTATGTGTGGCACTTAATTTCATGTTTTTTTATTCTTTTACTTTCCGTCTTCCTCGAAAAAGCTATTAAAAAAAGTTTTGAAGTTTAATGCACACACATCATACGTAAATACATTGTGAGTGCACAGGAAAGGAAAGGAAAAGTGGAAAACACATTTTCCATCTCGTAAATAGCTTTTTTTAGCCGAAAAAATAATAAAATAAAATAAGAAACAGAAAAAAATTCATAAAAAGTTGCTGGATTTATGACTTTATTTGCACAGCCATTAAATTTATTTTATTTTTCAATTTTAACTTTGAGATGGAATTATCGAAATGTTTCATGCATTTTGCTTTGGGTGCTGCTGGCTTCTTTTTGAAGTAAAAGCTTCATATCATGACGGTAATATTTGGTTATAAACATCTTTTCATCTGATTTCACAACCGCATCAAAACTCGCGAAACGAAAGTAATTTTGACATGAAACAAAATTGTTATCGCTAAACCGAAAAAGTTCTCAAGAATTTGTTGGATGAAATTTTTGAAAAAATATGTGCGCGGGTGAATTGAAACGAAATAAATGCGGTAACGATTCGCTTACATTTTTTTTCCTTTTCCGATTCTTTATTATTATTATTTTTGTTTCTTTTTTCGGTAACATGTTATTTCAATTTTGCGCAATAAAAGCTTAACAACAAACATATAACAGAGTAAAAGCATTGCACAATCTTCTTTAACCGATAAGAATAATAAATAAAGCAGAATGAATGTAGAATGTGGGTGTTTGATATCTATTTTTTATACTTTTGTTTCATCTATAAGAAAATATCAAAGTGATTTGAGAGTCTGAATATTCATCACAACATTTGACAAAATTACAGTTCAACGAAAGCAGTCGACAGATGGATTCCCATCATGAATATATGATGACAATCTACAATGATTTGAAAAGATTTTTCAATATTAAATGAACCTAAGTAACAATTCCTCCCACTCAATAATTTTACAATATTCAAATGCTCTTTAATTAGCTTTATGTCGAAGTTGACAGAAAGTAATGCAAAAAAAATCTCTCTTTACGAGCGATGATGGAAAAAGTGTTTACAAGTGCACATGGTGGTGGCGTATGGGAACATGTGGATTTTTTCACGCGGATATAAATTCAGTCTTCGAATTGTAATGTCGAAATGATGTTATTTTTTCTCGCTTTCGTCTTTCAACGCGCTCCACAACAATGTTATGTGCTTCGTTCATAAATATTTATTTGTGAGTGCCTTTAAAAACGACAGATTTTTGTTTTTTTGCTGTGACAGCTAGAATGGGGACGTTAAGTAAGTTAAGCAAGGTTCCAATCTATTCTAAAGAATTTTACATTTGTTCATTGAGAATCTAGATCTGTTTGAAATGTCTGATGAAAATCACATTTAATCGCTTTTTCGTTTTATGCAACGTTTGTAAATATTTCTTTCTCTCTCGTTCAAGTTTACTTTAAAAGTTTGAGATAAGATGAAAAACCTTTTCGATGATTCACTCATCCGCCTTTTTTAATCACCAAACATAAATTTACATTTTATCACTTAGGAGAAGCTTTCACCATCTTCATCAGAAGCACAGAGTTTCACGCGCTGTTCATTTATTTTAATTAAAAACAACGCTTAGAGAACTTTGTCTTAACTTTAATCTTTTGTGCATCATCGATTCTCGCTAAACTTAATTTAATAAACGAAACAAAGGAAAGTTGATAAAAACATTTTAATTATGACGTTGGGAGTAGAAATTCTTTCTCTCTTTTCATATAAACTGATTTGCGATAAACAACTTAGAAAGGAAGAAAAATGCTTTCGCTTTTATCAAATATCTTACTTGAAGAAAGTCAATTGTCCATCGTATACACAAAATTGAATTAGATTTACTCATCATGCCTGAGAAAAGCTGTAAACAGAAGCGACGAAAATTTCACCACGTAAAAGTTCATCCGATAAGCGAAACATTGATTCATTATGTTCTGTACTTAAAAACGAATAAAGAAGCTTACGAAAGCGGGAAAAAGATCATGAATGGATGGTTTGGGATCAAGGCACTTCCCACACTCACTTGTTTTATACTTCAAGGCTTCCCTTTCATTTTAAGAAATTTTCAACGTTCGCTTTTCTCATAAATATCTTCAAGACTTCCACTTTTTAAATAAGGCGACTGATAACAACATTAAAAAAATTCTCCACAGAATTATCTGCAAATTTTATTTGGGGTTCGAGATATTTAAGAAGAAAACACGTTTTTTCATCTCTTTTATGATACATCTACAGACATTGGCTCTTCGATCGACCCTTTTTCCCTCATAGCTTTATTATCATTTTCCTCAAATATTTCCTCCGTTGTGTACATTTTATTTACATTTAATAACAATAAAATCAATATTGGGTGAATGAGAAATGGGCTCCAGACATACACACCGAAGCACATGTGCTTTGATCCATTCGTCGAGAAAGAATTTTTTCCAGTTTTATCAATAGATGAGACTTCGTCTTTTATGTTTTTGATAAATATCATTTTCAGCGGGTGGGAATGTGAAGAGGTGTGAGGTGGCAAAAAAAAAATTTGCTCATAAAAAATCAATAAATTGTCCGGCAAAAAGAAAAGCGATCGAATGAAAATAGAAAAAAGGGAGAGTCACTGAAAGTTATGAAGCAAAATGATAACAAGAGAAACATTGAGTGAAAAATTAATGACAGTGGACACTTACAAGCGATTCAATTGCCTTTCCATTTACTTAATGGACCATATTTTTATGTCATAAATATTATCTCTGCTTCGAGAAGTTTATAATGCCCGCAAAAATGATAACAAAATCTAATTTATAATTCATAAAATTTTATCAATGAAATAACAAATAAAGAAGCAACAAAAGCCACTACAATATATCCGGGTAAGAGTGAAGCGAATATATGAAGAAATACTTTCATATTCAATTATTCAAATCTGTTGAACGGCAAAAGTCTCAGAAACTGGAATAATTTAGAAGCTCAAATTAGCATAATCTTTCGTTGTTTCCTTCGTTTTCTCCCCACGCTTATCTCTCGTTCTCGTTTGGTTTGCGAGCTTTTTTCATTTTTTTTTCTTACTTTGCCGAGAGAAGAAAGTTTAATCAAACTTGGGAAAATTAAAACACCTTTTAAGATTGGCCTTCAAGGAAAGCTTATCAAAGTTTTTATTTATGGACAGCTGAGATGCTTTTCAGTAATTAATGAATTATTAAATGAGACGAAGACGTTAAATATTTTCCCTTCATAAAGCGAAAATGATAAATTTATGAACATTCAATTTTATTTTTGATTTTCCGCCAAGCGTTCGGTAATTTTGGCCGGAAAAGTTATTCTAACGGATGGAAAATAAGAAACGCACGGAAGAAAAGTTTTCTCGGTTCCCAAAGCTTTTTAGGGGTGAAGTTTCAACACCGTATCATCAAATTCAATTTCCAATCAACAACTTTTCTATTTTCCGCCCACGCAACCTTTATTTTGATGAAAATATTGAAAAATTTAATTTCACATGAATCTTTTCAGATATTTGATTTGCGATAAAAATTGCCGTTTAACTTCGAAGAAAGCAATTTCAGTTCGTCGTTTTCTCGCTCCAACAAGCTTTCATCCAGTCGCCGAGCGAATGTGATGAGGGAAGCGTCATAAATGTTTCATCACATTCTAAAAAGTTGGCGACAAAATCGTCGCATAGCATTTTTTAAAAGCGTCAACATAGAGAGAAGAAAAGGAAAAAAAATTGCAAATAACTGGCATCATTTAAATAAGTTTTTATCACGAACGAGAAGAAAGCTCGTGAAGGTGGCGGGCGACACTCACGAGTATGTTTGCTTGCTTATTATATTTTTAATGCTTCAAGTTCTCTCATCATGTTCTTTCACTTCGTCGGAGAAAAGGTAAACGTCCTGAATAGCAAAAATAGAATCTTTTCAACAAAATAAACTTCCAGCATGAACATCCTCGACTCCACGACACTCTCAAAAGCCAACAACAAACGAGAAATGAGATTTAATTTAACATTAAAAAGTTCAATAAAAGAAGAAAATTTTAATATTTTGATTGGATTTTTTTCATGTCATTCGATGACGATGCTTTTGTATACAAGAATTTTCTTTTTATTTCCTCAGTTTGAAACTTTTCAGTAATCATCGACGAGTTAAAGGGCGATGAGAAAAAATTAAAAGAAAAACGGTAAAAAGTTCATCATTAAGGAAGCACTACAACGTCAGCGCATCGTTTCGAATCCGTCATTCAATTGAGTCAACAAAACGATGAACTTTCAGTTTTTATTCTGTTTAATCTAAAGTTTGACGTCTCAATCTTGGAAAGGAAGAAAAACGTAAAGAAAGAGAAAAAGAACAGCAATGTTAGGTTCAACGCTTTAAAGGCAAAAGCTCACAAGTGTTGACCGTAATAAGTCATATTTGAATCTTTAGGGATCGTAATGCATAAATCTTCTTGATAAAGGCAACTTTTACTAATGCTTGCAATTGATTTTTATTTTCTTTTTCTCTTATTTTTAGCAAGCTTAATGACTTAAAAAAAAGTAAAACTTTGTTTCCAAATTTCTTTCAGTCTCAGATATTTACGCTGCGAAACGAAATTAATTGATTTTCATGACTTCAAAACCAAACTATAACAAACGTTGACCGTAATATTTCATCATCAGTAAAAAAAACATTCAAACATAACTTTGCACATTTTTCATTGCACTTCTGTTGTTAAACAAATCATTTCGCAATAAAAGAGCAAACATTTCAAAAGCTTAAAAGCTCAATGTCCGATGGATCAGACGAAGCATTGAGGATAAAGATGAAGAGCGAGTTTTAAGTAATAAATTTTCCCTGCTTGTTTTTTTTCTTTCTCTGCTCGTCGAGAGCTCCAAAAAAGGATCAGCATTAAATCTTATTTTTTGGAATGAATAGCAATAATGTAACCCAGCAATGACAGCAACTAGAAGCAAAGCATTATAAAGTGTAAATGTAATAAATTTTTAGTTTTTCTCCCTCCATTCATCTATTCAACCACCCACACAGTTCTTCATGCAAATTTCTCATCTCATCTGAGTAAACTTAAAAAGTGCTTTGAGGGAAATTTAATTTCATGTTTAAATGAGCTTTCATTAAACTCTTGCAATTGCTTGAAAAATATCTCACAATCAGTTCTCAAGCTGAAGTCTGTTTCATTCCAACTGTGAATGTCGTTTTCACCTCTTAAAGGAAAAAAATAAAAAAAAGCGAAGCTTTGTGGGAAAAAAGTTTTCATTTTCATTCTCACAAACAGTTCCAACACCGCATTGCGATTTGAAAAATATGTTTTCACTGTACGAATTCATTTCGAATATTTTTCATTCCCGGATTAAATTTTATCTGTTGTAGACTGAAAAACTGCTTAGTTTATCAAAAAAACATATTTCTGTGGGTGGTTGGTTCCGCACCAAAGGAATGAAAGAAAAATCGCACGAAGAGCGAAAAAAGAAACGTTAAGCAATTTATTTTTCCATTGGAAATCGTTAATGCTTCCTCAGATCTTCGATTTAAGAAGGAGAAAGAAAAGAAAAAAAAATGATGAAAAAAATTAAACGAACCATGAAATTAAAGTGTTTATATTTATTGAGACAATATCTCTCGTCTTCCTTTCCTTTTGCTTGCTTGCTTGCATGCTTTTCGGTCATTGGAATTACTTTGAAATGAGAAATTGAAGTGGAAAAGTTTTGAAAATAATTTGACGTTTTTTCGCAAATTTAATGGTCAGATGAATTTTAAGATTTGCAAGTTTTCTCGTCATGCTGCAATGATTTCTTGAATCGGATGTGCTAACTTAACTTTTCTTTTTAAAACCTTTAAAACAAGCACTTTTGTAAGTTACAGTTGAAGGATTATTTTGGGGAGAAAAATAAAATATTTTATAATATTCGAAGCAAGCAAATCTTTTTTTTTCCACGACGCCTTCAACAAGACGAACTTTGGAAATCATTTTTCGAGTTAAATTAATTAATGAAGGTTCATTATCAAATTGGTGGGAAAAAGTGCTGGAAGGGTCAAACCGTCTTCTTTCTCTCTCTCTTCCAAAGCCACAAAAAATGAGAAAATGAAAGTTGATTAAATTTTATTATTCAGCTCTGGTCTGAGGTAACTTTTTATTTCTTGCTTTTCCCGCTGAGTGTTTAGCGTGGTCCATCTAAGTAAACATCGTTTTAGGGCAATTTCATCAAGTGAAACTGGGATCCCGAAAAAAAAATGAGAGAAATATGTGGTATTTAAACTTTCCCTTTTTTCATTTGCCCTCAAACGAGCTAATTTCATAATATAAAAGCTCTGACGTAAAACTTTTTCTATACTATGGCGGAAAAGTTTTAAAGAAAACTTTGCTATCTCCTTCACCATTTTCTGCATAATTGCAATAATTTGTAATTTCAAACTTTTCTTTCTCTCGTGTAAAATAAATGAAATTTCCATAATTACCTTCACTTCAATCGAGTTAATGCGCTGTTTGGGCAGCACGTTGTAAAGCGAAAAGTCCAAACGTCGCGAGAAGATGCCATTAGAGCCGCATGTGGTGCTATAATAAAAAAGATAAAAAAGAATCTTTGCGTTAGCATAAACGAAAATCTCAACAAAATGCAATTCTGCACAAACTGCCAATTTAAAATTCATAATACAAGAAAAAGAATTTTCTATCGCACATTCAAAGTTGCTTTCTTTCCACTTTTGTTTCATTCAAGAGTTGATAGAATGTAAAAAGTTCTTCAAATAAAGAAAGAGAAGAACAAGAAAATCTTTGAAAAATGGAAAAAGAAATCAAAGCGCGAAGCTCCTTCAAATCTCATTGTTGTTCAATTGCTGATTTGAATTCTGGTGAAAGAAGGGAAGAAAGGAACTTCACAAAATGCCAAACAGAATAACATTTCATTCGCGCTTCTGTTTACTTTTTATATTCAAATAGCGAGCGATGGTAAGAAAGCAAAAACCAATAATATATTTCATTCACGATGCTTCGAAGATTGCATGTTGGAACTGAACAAACTTCACAACGAGCTTTTCTTATTCCTGAGCTTCTTCTTCCCATTTTTCTTCTTTGCTCCAGTCATCGTCTTTGTGCGCTTATTTAGCCATAAACGTTAAAGAAATGAGAACAAGAAGAACTCAAAGAATAATCCACAATGAATGAAGTTGAATTTTTTGATGGCATCAAAATACTTTTTTAACATCATCATCAAACATAATTTCATATTTCTCAACCAATTAAGTGCCTTAAATTACCAAAATCTCAATAACGCAAGTGAATTACGACTGAGTGAATGGGAAAACTTATCTCTTAAGCTCGATCACGACTCAGTGCCAAACCGTCGATGAATAAATATTTTTTTCTTATTTTTCTTATTAAATATGCCATAAGCAATTATCATTTCATTCCTCCATCCAATGCTTCCTCTCATTCATGCAAATTAACCAACGATACTGTCTCATTATCTATCTTCCGATTAATTGCGAAAATAAAATGACAAACACACGATATCCATTATCATTAGATTGTGATTACTTGTTCGAGGCGTACAAAGGATTCTTTGTTGATACTTCGTCATTTCTTATCATTAACATTTTTATTCATTCATAGATATCAAAACCCGCTAGCGTTACTAAGATTTAGGTCAGTCTAATAAAACGCGCCTAAAATATTGTCTTATTTTTTCCGTTTCTCGTCTCGTATTATCGCTTCTTTCCTTCTTCTTTTTTTGGGGAGGCTTCTGAATCATGTGTGGAAGTGGATTTTTGTATGTTGTTCCTCTGAGGGAGGGCAAAAGAGCAATAAAAATGAATGTAAATAGAAGAATAAATAATAAATACGAGGCCCATAAAAATTGTATTTGTTAGTTGAACCGCCGAGATAATGTGACGGAGTTAGGGGGGAAAAATGGGTTTTGTCATCGATTCAATGTCGCTTGTATTCAGATATGAAACAAACATTGACTTTGTATAGTTTCTGTATTAAAATAATTCCCATGCGACAAATATGTTAAAAAGAATCTTTTTATAATATCAAATTTTCCCTTTTTGTTGACAGTGGAAACAAGAAATAATCATAAATTTAATTGAGCGAGAATTTATGAAAATATCATTGCATGAGACGTCTGAAGATTTTAAGATTTTCATTCAGTTTCATGCAAGTAAATTTCAGTTCATGTTGAAGGAATTCTACTTTACTACGACAGATATTTCTTTTTTTGGTGTCCATAAAAGTCGTTTGCATGAAGCTACTAAAAGATTTGTGAAAAGAATTTCCTTCAGGGACAGAAGAATCATCTTCAATTCAGAGTCAGAATTCTTTTCTGAACAGCAAACGAGTGAAAACTATATTCATAAACAGCTATAAAAACCATCATAAATTTTCGACTAAATAGGAAAACAAATCATCGTTGTTTCGACTACAAGAAGCAATGTTGAAGAAGTGGAAATTATCCAGGGATGTCTGAAGGAAAATTGTTGCTCGAATGAATGAGTTTTTGCTGAAGGTTCACAAGTGACAATTAAAGTTGTTAGAACTTGTTTACTGTTTAAATTTCTTGAATGACTGAGCTTTTTTCTTATTTACAAATTCCTTCAAATTCCAAGTGAAAACTCGAAAAAAACTTATTTGAAAACTCTCCGGTATGAATTTTTAGTAACAGAAGATTCACGTAAGAATATAAAGCGATAAACTTTACATGGAAAGGAAATTTAGAGCAAATATTGAGGTAAACATCCTTTTCAAAGAAACGTTGCAACATTCAGGTTGCATCTTTAAGCAGGAAAATATAACTTGCAGCAATAAAAAAGCAAACATGAAACCTTCGCTGCAGTAAATACGTTTTCGATTTTATTATATTTTGTATGATGAGCAGAGTTTGTAACCAGTTGAAGTTGGATTATGATTCTCAGAGACTCTTGTTGAGTTTAAAATATTGCACACGACTTCATGTTGCAGTGTTTGTATTTGTTGATGGAAATTAAGGAGAGAGCTTTTGCGGAAATCATTTATGCTTAATCCTTGGCAAAAGACTTGATAACGAAAAAGAACAAACAAATTAAAATACGTTAAAGTAATCCTAAGGGCGCTTTAAAGAACATCAGCTTGACATGCATGATGACATTCTCAAATCGTTCACAATCGTAATTGGAGGACTTTGACACCAATTTTATACGATGTGCATGTGAAAAGAAATTCTCTGCAAAGAGTACTTCAGTTTGACATGCAGAAAGTATAAACTTTTGATATGTTTCTCTTTCAAATACATCAACCTCGGTTTTGTTTCATTCATGACAACGAGAGTCACATTATGCAATGTAAACAGATTTCAATTTTCAGGCTCTCGAACTTTTGTGCTGATTTCTCGTTTCTCTCTTTTATGCATCAACAGCTGCTGTAAGGTCGGTTAATGCTTATGCATATTTAAAATAATTAATTAGATTTCTCGCTTCTCTCAACAGCAACAACCTGACCGTGTTACAATGTTAATTTCTCCATTGCTAGTATTTGAAATTTTTTTTGAAGCAATCATATGATGATGATGATGATGATAAAAAGTGGAGCACAGCCCGTACTGTGACGTCAATAAAAGTTAATTTAACTGTGAAACGATTTGTTAATGTATTCCCAAATTTTCTTTTATTGATCGAAACTTGAGTTCTTTTCCTTCCTCAATCTTTCTTTCAGCTTGCATAGAGCTTAGTTCCTTTTATTACCCTCCATAAAAGCGAGATTTCACAATGAATTTTCTCCATGCTTTGCCCTTGCGTGACCTTCTTAATTTCTTTCCTTCCTTTCCTTGAACCGACATCATGCGATAAAAGATAGCGTAAGCTCAAACTGCTGGTTATAAGATTTCGCTTTTTTGAAAAATTTAATGGATTTATTTATTTACTTCACTGTTTTTTTTTTGTTACTTCATTCTTTCTTTTCTCTTTCACTTCGACAAAGATTGAGCGTTTCAAGGACTAAGCAAATTACGCTCGTTGATACAAAAAAAAGAAAATTGTTTGAGTTTCTCTATTTAGAGTGATTTGCTAGACGATGGATAGTAGAATAAAAAAAGGGCGAACAGCAAACAGTGTCAAAAGACGAAAACATATTTGAATCAAGTCGCAAAACAACAAAGAAGAGAAAAGCTTCTGAAATGTAAACAACAAGTGAACTTCATTTCATTGAAATTTCATTTCCTTCATCAGATTCGCATTTCTATTCAATGAAAACGACTTTTTTCTTTCTTCATTTCCGTTTTTTTTTCTGGCACTCGAGGAATGAAAAGGACGTTTTCCTTTATGTCATTTTATGTTTCATTTTCAATTCCATTACCCCTACAATGAGCTTCTCCATGTGCTTTTCTTAAGCTTCTCATAGAGTTTCTTTTCTTTCTTCGACATTGAAATTAACAACATGAAAAGTTTTTGAAATAAAATGAAAGGGAAAGTTGAGAATTTAAAATATTCAAACTGTTAAAAATATCACCAAAAAAATTCATTTACACATATCGTGAATTGCACAAAACACTTTTTTAATTTATTTATCATTTTACTGCTGATAAATTTACCTTAGAACGTTTTTCGATTTTGAAACAACTTTCATTATTAGAAGACTCTTATCGCACTGAGAATGTTTCTTTGTGTACGTCAGTTTTTGAGTGCTAATTTTAAAGAGATTAGACGATTTCGTAAATAAGGTCGAATCTCTTTAAATTGTTTGTTTGTTTGTTTATTTCTTCATTTGTAAACATTTAAGAGCATGCTCTTTTTAAGATTTCCTAAGAAAATCTTCTCATGATTACAGCTTGTCTTATGAAATTTTATTCTTGAAACAAGACAAATTAAAACTATGACATGATTGATAAAAATCATACAATCTCAATGAAGTAAAATATTATCACTTCATATCTCAGCACCAAATAAATTTCAGCCAACATAGGCTAGCAATGATTCATTGTGTTTTAAGGATGGGAAAGGGGAAGGTTGAGCATTAACTTCTATATCCACTGCAAGTTAAAGTAAGACAAGCACTTCTTTTTGAATTCCGCAGCAGAGTTAGTCATTCTTATGTCTGTTTTGATGCTATTCCATATTTGGATTCCAAGAACAAAAAAAGAATTAGAATACTGTGATCTTAGGTGTGAAGGTATTTGTAAAACTCGATTCCGCAACGATTTCGTAAAAATTATTTTATCATAAAGATATTCGGGCTGTTTGTAACGTAGCAAGTTGTAGATGAAAAGGCACGCCCTATATTTTAAGAAATTCTCTATCGAGCTACCAACGACATTAGATTTGTATTGAGATACTGATTCGTAACGTCTTCTGTCAAAAATGTATCTGATACATGAATTATACGCTAATTCAATCTCTTTCCAAGCTGCCCTCGAAGCACCTAAATAAATATTGCTACAGTAATCAAACTTAGGAATTAAAAGCGACTTGACTAAACCGAGTTTTATTTCACGAGGTGTAAAATGCTTTGTTTGGCTCAAC